CATCGTTCATTGACTTAGAGTAATATGCTACGGGGTGCCATAGGTCATCTTCCATCAGTTGAGATAGAACCGCTCCAGTTGCGTAATCAGAAGCATCGGTTTCTATTTTCATTTTCTTCTCAACGTCAGGCATTACTAGGATCGGAGCTGATGTAAACCTTGACTTCAGTTCATCAAAAGCATCTTGCTGTTTCTCCATCCAGTCCCATTTGACATCCTTCCGTAATAAATCATTCATTGGTCTGGCAATGTCCGAAAACCCGAAGATAAATCTTCTGTAGAAGTTGGCAAAGCCCATAAATGCTTGAATATCTTTAACGCATTTGGGTACAGGCCATTTCATTACTCCTTCTACTTTCACAGGGTCCATTCGAACACCACCCTTTTCCACTATCAACCCGAGGAACTCGACTTCTGTCTGTTCGAAGCTACATTTTTCAGGCTTCAGATACAGATCGTTTTCTTTTAGTCGTTTCAGTACCTCTTGTACAACTTTTCGGTGTTGCTCCCTATTGCCATTCGTGAACACGAGGATATCATCGATATAGACAACTACGGTCTTTCCATCAATTAAATCTCTGAATATCTCGTTCATCATGGTTTGAAACGTGGCAGGGGAATTTGTTAAACCGAAATACATCACGGTTGGTTCATGGTGACCAAACGGCGTTTTGAAGGCCGCCTTCCACTCGTCTCCTTCTTTCATGCGAATATTATTGTACCCCCATCTTACATCCATCTTGGAGTACATCGTGGCACCAGTTAAAGCGTCAATTAAATCTTGAGATCTCGGTAGCGGGTATGCATTTTTAACCGTCTTCTCATTGAGCTTTCTATAGTCCATTACTGGTCTCAACTTGCCATCTTTTTTGGCCACAAAGAAGAAAGGTGCTGCCACTGGAGATTGTGAATTTCTTATACGTCCCAGTGCAGTCTCGGCTTTTAACCAATCTTTCAAAGTGTCCATCTCCTTGGGTGATAAGGGATAAGGTTTCGCATTCGGCGGAAGATCGCCATCATCTTTAAGATCTATCGCATGATCCCATTTCTTTCTTTCAGGGAAGCGCTTAGATTCTTCTTCTGAGAAAACTCCCAGGTACTCGTGAAGCCAATCGGGAACCATTTCTTCGACCGATTTCTTCACCTTCGTTGCTTCTTCTGCAACCTTCTGCTCCGTGGCAACCGAGGCTTTATACTTGATCCATTCTCCAGGATACTCTTCGTCTTCTATTTCCTCAACTGTCGCCCTTTTCATCGCCATGTCTTCTTCGTCATCCTCTTCTGTGGGAATCAGATCTGGCACTTCTTCTATCTTTTTTTGTTCTTTTCTTTTTTCTTTATTTTTTTGTCTTTGTTCTTTTTTAGTAATACATTTAACCGGGCAACGAGAAAGTGCAAAACGTCCAGCGTTCCAATCTATTTCCGGGTTGTGATATCTTAGCCAATCTATGCCAATAATAACATCATCGCTTCCTAAGTCCGTAACCATGAAGGCTGCTTGGTCTTCAACATGGTCACCGATCTTTAGACCTAGATCTGCGTAATGAGTCATCGATCCAGCGGCATTTAACGAGCCATCGATATTTTTAACCGGAATGGGCCTTAATAATTTATGGCACCGGACTTCGTTCTTTTTCACAAACTTCTCGCTAATAAATAATGTTGATGCACCGCAATCTACCAGTGCTTTCACATCTGCTTGTCGGTTCTTTCCCTTCAACGTGATCGGAATGTAAAAATGCTCAGATTTGGATCTAATATATACTTCTGATACATCCGAGAACGTAGATAGGATGGAGAAACGATTGTTCGGGTCTAAGTTCGCAGACTTTGACTTCGACCCCTCTAAAAACCCTTGCCTTCCTTGGAGCTGACCCAGGCTTTGAACCAACTCGGGATAGGGTCTTCTTCTTTTGGCACTGTAGTAGCCTTCACCTGCACCTTTGGTGCGACTGCGTCTTTGCAGTTTCTAGCCATATGGCCTTCGCCTCCACAGCGGTAGCATTTGAAGGATCCAGTCCTTCCTTGAGGTTTTGGAGCACCTCGCTGTTTGTTGGCGTCGACGTCCATAGCGTCGCTTTCCCTGCTTGGACCAGGTTTGTATTCAGGGGTCCTGGGGCCTTGTTTAGGGGTCCACCAGGTTGTCTTCTTCTTGTCCGCGTCTAGCTCCTCGAAGTTGCGTCCGATTTGGATCGCATGTTCCACCAGTTTCTTCATGGTGTTTTTGTCCTCGTAACGGACGTGAGCGAGCTGTATCTTGACACGGTCTTGAAGTCCCAGCCTGAACTTCTGTCTCTGGTCGTAATCGGAAAATGAAGTGTGTGCGGCCTTTTGTCTGAAAGCGGCCGCGTACTCTGGAACTGAGGAAGATCCTTGTCTAAGGGATTCCAGTTCTCTGATCGCTTTTCCTTCACGATCTTCTTGCCCCCACATGGCTTCTAAGTCTTCCAGGAATTTCTCCACGGTCAACTTTTCATCTCCGGTCTTTCCAAGTTTGGTGATGTAAGGTTGCGCCCATTTGGCTGCAGTACCTTTCATAAAGGAGAGCATTACTCCAATTCTTTGGCCTTCTTGGATGTTGGGCCATTGCGCAGTGTATAGCGCTACTTGGGATATCCAGACCATGAGTTCTATGGAGTCTTTTTCTCCAGTGAAGTCTTGGGGTTTTGAGTATTTGATGGAAGGGGAATGGTTCGATGATAATAGACTAGCTCCTGCAGAGCCGAAGGATGGTTGTTGAGACTGTATTTTCACGGTCTCGTCTTCTTGCATTTCCAGGCGTACGCCCAGGAGTCTGTTTGCTTCTTCTAGAGCTAAATTCTTGGCTTCTAGTTCCGCTATTCTGACCCTGAAGCTGTCCGCTTGGTTCGCAAGTGACATGTGGATGTAGTCAACAATTTCTTGCGGACTAGATGGTAGTATCACCGTCTGTGCAGGTTGCGTGGGAGAGTTTGGTAACTCAGACATAGTGCCAGTTGTGTTCTGGAACCCGATTCACTGATGTCTGTTGAAGAGCTGCTCGTAAGGGCTCTTCCGAAAGGGAATGATGGTGAAAAGAAGAAAGTTATGTAATGGAAAACTGAAGCGGTCCCCGATATCTGATCGGATCTACCACGTACTTCAGGATCGAAGGGTTCTTTAATCAACCCAACCGATGCTTCCCTAATACTAACTAAAAAGGATACGTAACTATACTCGATCGAGTGGGAAAAACTAGGGACAATGCAATCTCCGTTCTGAGGGTACAAGCCTAGGACAAGTTATCACTCTTCCAGCCGAAGCTTACAAGTGCGAGTCTCACTAGGGTATGTCTCTAAATCCTCGTAGGTCGAAAGCACGGTTTGTCGTCTAGACAGTTCCGCTATTGACTCGAAACGAATGCCTACGTGCGTATGAAGAAAGGAATAGGTAAAATGAAACTATAGTAACGTTGAGCAGGCAGGGTTTTGGGCCAGCACTCAAAGTTGCAGTGACACGCCTAATGTCGTGAACACCTCCGTATACTGGCGGCTGCGGTAAGACAGGGCCTGGTATAGGACTACTAACTACGAAAGATGATAGGTAAAGAAATGCGCTCAAATGAGCAAAGGGATGAAACAAAGGATCGCGGCGGTTAAGCCGGGCAAAAAGTATAACGGTTCTGTTTCGGCTAATGGTGTGGTGACTACCAACACGACCAGGCGAAAGAGAAAGATGTGCGAGAGTGTAACGCGAGAGTCGGAGTCTCCTATAGTTCAAACCTAATGTCACAACCCCTTAAACGAATTAACGCAGGGCAGAGACTAGGACTCAAACAACAAGATAATCACAAAGAGGATAAGGCAGCAGGTACGTCTTGGATTGCTCACTTGGAGATACAAGAGGTTTGAACTAAAGAACTACTGACTACGACAAGCTACCTATATACACATATTGAAACTGAGATCGAAACTGAGTATGAACTAATTAACCAATCAGAATAATTAAAGGTATCGTACGATTCTATATATAACTATGATGTCATAACATGTGCCGCAGCCGCAGTAAGACTCTGGAACATTCCAAGAGTATCGCGAGGCATGACATCAACATCTTCGGCATTGTCCGATAGATCACGTGACTCTGGTAATTCTACAATAGACGCAATGATAGGAACTTCTTCAACAGTAAATACATTCTTAGGAACAGGCGCTGTGACTGGGCGCTTAAAGGACTTAGAATTTAGGAACGAATAATGGTTTGTATTTGGAACTCGTGACAGTATGCCCAAACATGACATTATGCCACACTCACGTTCAGTGTCAAACATCTGCCTTCATGCATTCAAACAGCAGATCACACGGTCTTGATTGGCTAATTGGAGGGTGACTAGGACTGGTGAGACCGGGTTCAGTTCATCTATTGATGGCATTGGCTTGCCTGTGTGGACAATCGAGGTCGTGGCGGGCATGGCTTTCTCATTGCACAATGTCGCATTGCCTTGCAAGTGATAGTTCATCAAAAGCTATGTGAATAGCTTTTGAACAATTTGGAAGCTGCCGAAGTTATTACACCTTATTCGTACCGGCCTCGCGTCTGTCTGGACAAGTATAAAACCTGTCACCCACCCTGCTTGCCCCTTGTTAAGTCGTCTTCTGTTGTATTCCCTGCAGATTTATCATCAGCTGCACGCCACATTTACATTATCTCAATCCGTACAGAGGTGAGCAAAGCTTGAAGTTCCGCAATCCACAATTGGTCAATCTTATTCTAGGTTGCATCGGACGCACACAGAAAACAGGTTGCCACACTACCCTTCTCAGCAGTGTAAAAGTCGCTAGCCACACAAAGTTTCTCTGCACCACATGGTTCTACCACTCATGGTTCCACTCGTGGCGTCTGTAGTGTCTGCAGTGGTATCTGCGGGGTCAGCCACATTTGCGGCCGTCTGGCCAATTCATTCTGCCAGAGCCAGGCGACTGGAGGCAGAAGAGACAGCAAGGAAGATGAAAAATGACTTAATGGAGATTTTGATCCACGTAATGTTGCAGAACAATCTGGGTGAACTGCGACAGTCAGCTGCAGAAGATAGTCGCAGAGTGGAGGAAGCAAGGCTCACTGCTGAGAAGAAATGGTTCAAAGGTGTTCGCCCCGAGTGTCACCCTTCAGAGGAAGATATCAATCAGATGAAGGCCGTGTATCATTACAATCTGGGATTCATCCACATCGCAGTTGTTGGCTCTGCTGGAGCTGGCAAGTCGTCCTTCATCAATGCTGTCCGTGGCATATCTACAAATCATACCATGGCCGCTCCTATGGGAACCACCGAGATCACTCGCACCGTCACGAGGTACCCTGATCTGTGCCCGAACTCCCGGACAATCTGGTATGACGTTCCCGGGTCGGGCACTCTAGAGGTGTCAGACTGGAGGTACTTCAATAACATGGGCCTCTACATCTTTGATTGCATCATTGTGGTCATAGACAATCATTTCTTGGATTCCGACCTTGCCATCCTCCGCACTTGTGAGCAGTTCAAGAACATTGAGGCGTTCCTTGTTTGCTCCAAGTCAGACCAACACATCAAAAATATGGTGTCCCAGAAGATGGGTTTTGACCCTTGGGATCCCGATTCGGACATGGACGACACAGCACGTTCTCTTTTCCGGCTGATGAGATTACAAGAACACCAGAGGTTCATTGATGAAACACACCAGAATATCCAAATGAACCTTGAGAAGGCGAAGTTTCCTCCTAAGAATGTCTACATTGTTTGCAATGACACCATGCATCAGACAGTGTGCACTGGCAAGACACACCCCACAAAGGCAATCGACGAGGCAAAGCTTCTGGATGATGTCAAAGAATTTACGTTGAAGCGTCTACAGTTGGGGTGTTCAAAGTAAGTAAGATTTCCCCGTGTTGAGAGCCAATGAACCCGAGGACGGAAAGGCCGAGAGAGGAGGAACCAAAGGGGGAAATGGGACTACAGTGTCTTCTTAGATAGATGATCTATAGATAAACACCTATAAAAACAAATATCTCCACGGTCAGCGATTCAGACAAATACCAATGACTGATAACATGGTCGTTCGGGGGTGGCTAGTTGTATACTACCCAAAGTATATTCAGCTAAGGATACTTCTGCAAGATCAGTAATATGATGGTCAATCCAATCTATGGACTTTGACAGGAAAACAAACAAACAATGGTCAGCCCGACAGTATGGCGATGACCAAGAGAATATACAAGATTCTTCCTCAAGTTCCCTTTCAACAACAGTGCCTCGTACCAACTATACTCCAAAAGAAATGGTGTAGAATTACAATGATAAACCCCCTCAGCACAAAACAGGTAGAATCAAAGGTCAAGACTAGTCAAATGCTTTATTGTAGAACTCTTAGCTCAATATTGAACCTGCTGTCAAGGAACTCTTCTTTGAGTATTCAAACAGACTCAGGAACGGACGTCCTTGGGTTTACTACCAAGTCCCCTCTTCAACGGCTAAAGCCTAGCAGGCACAGAATATCTTGGCTCAGTATCGCTACTCAGATGAGTGAGGTCAAGCTTCACTATCAATTCCTAAAGTCTCCCCACTATGCTACTTCTGAGTCTTAGGTGGACGTAGAGACAACACAAATATTTTGGAAATATATTTTTGGACAAAGAACACCAAAGGTTGGTGAAAGTGAAACAAAAGGAAAAAGAAAAAAGAAATCTGAATATAACTGTGGCTGTACCTTGTTTGCTGGTTATTGCACACAGTGAGCTCATAGCTGGTCGTTTAGTATGATGAGCTTGCAGTATTACTGTCTCTTGAGAATGTTCCTCTCAGTCTTGAAACAGTTCTTGACACTGGTACTGACACTTATCACACCTTACTCACAAGTGTTAGATGGGCTGAAAAACACCCTACTACCTGCTGCTGTTCGCTTGTTATTATTTCAAAAATTGGGGTCATTATATACACAATAAATGTGGCTGTGCTACTAGTGTATTCAAGAGTCATCAAGAGTCATAATGAGTCATATGTGCAAGGTGAGTCATAGTAAGTCATAGTAAGTATTTAGAGTGAGTCATAGTGAGTCATTGGGTATTTTGCTAAGTCATGTGACCTGTCCAACCCCTGATGACAAATCCAGAAGGAGAGTAAGAAGTGTCACATGATATGAGTCCTGTGTGTGGCTGTCTTTGCTTTGCTTTGTTTGAAGGGTGAGAATGACGTGAGCCTAGTATTTAGGGGTTTACTAATGTTTTTCCAGGACAATATATGTGGGAAATATTTTTCACAGTCACCTGACATGTGTGGGATTTTGTCTGAGTCATCATCATGGCTGACTAAGCAAAACTCATCGCAGAATTAAATGTACTAAAATATTCAGGCTGCTGGTATACAGACTTGAAAAATAAAAAGAAAAGCAAAAAATATTCCCTTAGCCTCAGTCCAACTTCAGATAAAAGGGAAAAGGGTTTCATAGTGGTATTTCAGGGTATATGACTCATGAGAGAGTATTGGTCGTCCATGCACTGAACCGGTTTGGTGCAGGTCAACGGCCGATGAATAAGGCAGCTCGAGGTGCAAGCGCCACCAAACGGAGAATCCAGACGACGTGTCAAATGTTGGCAATCTTTTTCATTCTTTTAGTATATGTTTCCATCAAAACTCCTGCTGGTGCACTCACCATATAAAAGCAGCCAGCCGCCGTTGAAACATCTCAGATTCGTAAACCAAATACTGAGATGTGAGTGTTCTAATGTGACGTCTGAGTACGAGTGCTAACGTACAACGTAGTGTACCTGTCTAGGTAAAAACATTCATCAATAAAGAGATTCGTAAACCGAATACTGAGATTGTACCTGTCTAGCCTCGCTATACTCACAATACCCCATTCAATTATCAATCAGATGGTTGAGTACAAATTTTACTATATAGTTAGGCCTGTCCCGGATCCTGACAGCCCCAACACAAGGCTTGTCTTAGCACCACATCTTTTAGTCTTTTGTTTGCTGGTATTTCACCATCTGTATCTCTCTCCCAAGTCTGTAGTCTTACATACTATCACGTTCTCGGTGTTGATTTTGTTATGTTACATACAGTTTTTTGTCAGTCAATTGAAGTGTAGCTGGAACAACACGAGGCGAGGCTGATCGAAGTCGAACTGAAATCTTAAATTAGAAAGCTGAACGGTCTTATATGTCAATTATACATCTGTACTTACCGGTACCCAAGTGTGAACATCTATGATTGATATCCAGTCCCTTTGAAAGTCTGAAGCATCACATTTTATTTCGTGGCAACAGACTGCGTGTATTTGCAGCTGAATGCTACACTAGAATTACTCAGATTGTTTCAAGAACGCCTCGACCAAATGTTGCAAAGGAGGCAGGCAGAGTCATTTGATCGATTAGATGCTAGAAATGAGAGAATTTTGATACACAGCAACACATCCAAACTCTTCCGGTACTGCGGAAGATATACATAAGACATCTCCAAAATACAAACATAAAGACTTACTCTTGAAATGCCAAAATGCACGTAGTACGTTGGTGCGTGGCGAGACATATAAGTTGCTTGGTGGTAATTGTTCTTTGCGCAAGATATACGAGCTCGAGTGTAGTACTACCTTGTGTTGGCATCCTTGACGTCATATATGATATATAGCATATTTGATGACATGAATTAATCTAGATTGATCTAAACGTCAAAAGCACTTGGCGAATAAAATGATCTGACTACACCACCAGCGGCCGCTTTAGGCTGTAGTGATATAGTGAGAAAACTATTTACAACACCTGGCAACCAGGCAGATACAAGGCTGAATATAGACATGGTACATAAATAAATAAATAATGCTGTAAAGCTAATAGATCAGATCTTTACCAAAGGTTTTTTCCTGACCTGCGCAACAGATTGGTTACAGCTCAAATTCGGTCCGATTCAGGGCTAGTGCATAGGTCTAAGCATCAGATCTATGGTATACCTATAAAAAAGCTCGCGTGAACATCCTAGCTAGAATTTCATTAATGAAGTCAAGGTAGCTTGCTAGTATTCACTATGTGTATCCTACACAAAATACACCAAGTTCTATTTCCCTGAGCATACTGAAGGCAAATGGCATCATATAGAACTTAAATTTCTGAAAAACTGCTTTGTGTATGGTAGATGTTACACTGATCAAGATGCTTGCGCTGCGAGACTTAGCGAAATTTGTGAAGAGATGACCTAGAGGTGATGATATACTATTAGCAACATCAGATATACAAGAACTGATAGCTTAACAGTATAGCTTCATTGTGAACTTAGAATGCTCCAAGTGGAATGCTTGAGTTTGAACCTTCCCTGTTTCATTTTAAAATTTTGTTTACTTTTTCAGAACACTGCTATATATGATATATTCTAATATATATAAGCACAGAACGTCTGATCCTGCGGAACCAATTCGCGTCTACCCCACGTGCGCGCTCCAGCTGTACCTTCAAATTTCATGTCTGTGCTCCACCTGTGCTCGTGCTGAGTTCTTCTTGTCGTGTAAATCGGTCTTGCACCATGTGCGCGCGCCACTTGCTGATTCGTGGCAATCGCTTTGTCAATCTCTTCCAATACATTTTTTACCGCTCAGACATGCGTGCCAAGACTCGCAGCTCCGCCCACTTTGCTGTGTAACTCCCTTTGGTGTACCGGGGGGCGAAAAGCATAGCAGGGCGGAGCAAGGGAATTGCACTTACATCTGCAGTGATTTTGGGCCGGTCTCATATGTGCGCTTGGTGCCAATCAATCATTCTCCTAAGAGACTACATTGGAACTGTATTGTGTTGATGTACGTCGTACACTGTTTTTAAAATCTCTGTGCTGCACTGAACTCTGTTCCTATTTTCATTCCATTATTGCGTCTCCGAGTGCGATGTTACTAAACTATTTGTGCGCTGTTTTCAACGCATGCTGAGTATCAACAACCACTTTCGAGCGTGCAATGTTGTTGACACTTTCGCGCGCTGTGTGCAACAGACTCTGAGGATGAAAAGACTCCATGTGCGCGCTCCAACTCAATCTCTTTTTGAATCTCAGACGGCAGTGATCTCTCTCCTAACTCTCCTCCTAATAGGCCTAATCACTTACCATCATGGCGTCTGCATGCTCATTTCATGGCATCGTTGGCATTCAAAATGCTGTTCCCTACGCATTGGAGGCCAGGAAATGCTTTTGGAAAATGGATGGATTTGTGCCTCTCTCTCTTGACATAGAGGATGATCTTGCAGATCTTGCTGTGTCTGTCTTCATCTTCGGTGGAACCACTGCGCCACCTGAAGATGGAATTTACTTCATCAATGCTTGCGTAATTACCAGCACAATAGATGAACATGTCTCTCTTGAGCTTTACTGTGTGGATGTACGTCGTTCTCTACGTTTGTACCTTTCCTAATACAAATCCTTCCTTACATTCAGGAGATGCAACCGACTGACAGTGGAAGGACTCTTCCTACCATCATTGTCATCAGCAAGGTTTCAAGAGGCTCTTCTGAACTCGTCGAGAGTCGTGCTTTCGACATGGACATCATGCAGTACGGTATCATGCCGCAACAACTCGCGCGCATCCGCTGCTTCTATCCTGAGGATCATCCTCGCCTCACGAAGACACCAGTTCCTACTGCTGAGAAACATATCATTGTTCAAGGCTGTATCTCTGAGCTCCTTCACAACCGCTGCATCGTGCGTGTTCACAATATCACTCTTGGACCTTCCAGTGGTGTCGTCGAGAAGCACAGACATGCAGATGCAGTTCCTCCTGCCAAGTTAAAAAGCTTCAATTGGAGTGGAGGTGGAAAGGGGAAGGGGAAGGGAGCATCTCATACTGATTCAGATGTTGATTTAGATCTATCACCTCGGCACAATGACAAAGCTCGCAAGCTTGATGCTTTGGAGGACATAGGCAAGGGACCAAGCAAGAAAAAGGTTTCATCTTCCAAATTGGTGAAAAAGGGGTTGCTGGGTGAAGAGATCAAACCAGTGCCATCATCCAAAGTGGCTTAATCTGTTTGTTTGTTCTGTTGTCTGCTTACTCCTAACTGTCCATGTATTTTTGATTACTTCGAATTAACTGCACCGTTGAAGGTACAACAATTCAGATGGTGAGTCTGAACAATGTGTTGGGTCTTGCAGAACCTAGCTGCTATTCGACCCTAAAGGGTTTCTGGACCAGGCTCAAGGCTCAGAGGAGAGGAAATATCATAGAAAACTACTGAGCACTGAGACTCATACTGGTAACTGGTGAAAAGATTGATTTCTTATGTAAGCTACAAAAGTGCCAACATAAGGTAAGGTAAAAACAGTCTCTACAAGCCCAGCCAGTGAAAGAATTAATACAAGTTCACGCGGGTCTGTAACAAACGGACTCTCTCAGTCGTTGCGCGCGAAGGCAAACGTCTGATGATATTCACCTGTAACAAACGGACTCTCTACTCGAAGTAAGTAAAGGTGAATATGTGAAAATGTAAGTATCTCACCTCAGTCGTTGCGCGCGAAGGCAAACATCTGAGGTGCAAGGCTGAGTCCATAGCTAGCTAAATACCTCGCAGGCTCTTGTGCGAGTGAATTGAGTATGTGAGACTGTAACAATAAGAAAATATGGCACTGGCCCAAGAGATCAATGGTGTCTTATAAGTACAATAGAAAAGATGATAACAAGATCGCATGAATATGAAACGTACGTGTCGCTAGACATTGTGAACGAAAATAACAAGGGAATACTGCGTCTCGGCTGCGAGCACGCTTGCTCATTTCCAACAGCCAGAAATGAATCCCTACACCGTGTTTGGTTGATGTTTATTCCCTCCTGATGCCTGTCAATTGTCAGCATCATCGACAGTTGAAACGTGCTGCCCGCACAAATCCTCAGTATCTTCAGAATGAAAACAAGATTCATCGCATGCATTATCAACAGTGCAGTGCTCTGCGATGTCAGCTAACCGGTGAGATAGTGATTGTTTGCTATTTCACTCATGTATTAATGCAATTTGCAACCAGCCAATCTATCACCTCTATCATCTTTGTCTTTGTCCCCTGCATCAGAACAAGGATGTACTCCTGCTCATGTGGCTCCTCAACAGGAGCATGTGCCGTGGTGGGTTTCGCTTTGACAACACCCTCCACCTCCAATTGATCCGCCAACGTGGAACCGCCGGTGTCCACATTGCCATGCGCTTCTGTTGTCCACTGAATCTGACTCGTTCTGCTGTGGAAATGGCATGCGGGCTCTACCTCCTTTACACCCACTGCCTGTTCGCATGCGGATGCTGCTGAATGAGAACATACGCCTGAAACACATCATAGAATTCTGTCATGTAGTGAATAATTTCTTCTCTTTTGCAGGCATCGGCGTAAGTGGTGGTTTCCAGCACTTTAACTCTGGTCCAACTATCGGACCTCCAGCAGTAGCCATCACCGGACGAACTTATCATTTGGTCCGTGATACAGAATATGAAGATCACTCCATTCACTGGTTTCTCTATGATGAATGCATGTGACAGCAAAAAGCTCTCGAATTCAGAGTCCATGCTACAGTCATTCAATCTATTACTGATGATCTCAACGACGTGAATCCCTATGTCCATCATCTGCATCAATTCCGCCCTCGCTCAAGAAAGAAAAGGCAGCTGGAGTTGAAGGACTTCTCATCCAATGGCGAGTTTGCAGCTGTCATGCACGCATCTAATTTGACAGACATCAATCCACAGTCAGTTGTCATTCGTCGGAAGGTCACAGACAGCCCGAGTTCCTCAACATCTTATCGCGTCACTATGAACCACTGCACTATGTGATTTTCTTTCCTCATGGTGACATCGGCTGGGGAATCACTCCCATTGATGGCATCCCACACCTATCACAGGTGGACTGGTATCGAAGTTGTCTGCTTGCAGATAACAATGAACGATTCAGCATCTTTGGCAGACTGACCTGTGAATACTTGGTTGACATGTACTCACGCACAGAAGAAGAGCGATTGGCATACATCTCACGACAGCGCCAGCTACGTGCTGAAGAAGTCCAAGATCAGGAAGATGAAGATTTCGAAGCGACCATCAAACTACCTTCAAGCTTTGTCGGCTCACATGCATGGACCTCGGAACAGACGTGTGATGCCATGGCATTAGGCAGGAAATTTGGAAAACCAACCTTTTTTTGCACAATGACTTTCAATCCAGACTGGCCTGAAGTTCGCGCACGACTTCGTCCTGGCCAATCTGCAACGGGCATTCCCATTGTAGTGGCTCGCATATTCAAATCTCGATTGGAGAAAGTCTTACATGTTCTTCGCACTCGATTTGGAGAAAAGAAATACCTGATCAAGGTAATTGAGTTTCAAAAGCGGGGGTTCCCTCATGCGCACATCATCATCAAGGTATGTTGTAAGCTCGGTTTAAACCGACACTTTCTGACAGCAGACAGGTGCACCCAGAAATTCCTTTCGACCAGCTTGATACCATTGTCAGTGCGGAGCTCCCACGAGACAATCCCACCAGGTGCGAGAAGGTGCAGCGATACATGATGCATAGCCGCGATCACCTGACACGAGCAGGTAGTCGCTGCAATCAAGAAGGCCGATGTATATATGAATTTCCTCACTCCCTCCAGCACACCACCACCATCGATGAATATGGGCGAGTGCACTGGCGAAGACGTGATGAAGAGGACCAATGGGTCGTGCCATATTGTGCACCTTTGCTCGACTTTGCTGATTGCCACTTTCATTTCGACGTCGTCTACACTGCCAAGGTATTCACCTACCTTTACAAGTATCTCTACAAAGGACCTGATCGTGCATTGTTTGCTGTCAATGACATGGACGACAGGTCACAACCACTTCAACGAGTCAACGAAATCGACAACTACCAAAAGGCACGATATCTCTCGGCACCCAAAGCTGCTTGGCGTATCCTTGGTTTCGAAATCACACGAAAGGAGCCTTCAGTCAAGAGCTTGCTGGTCCATATCCCAGAAAGAAACACACCTCAGTTTCATCGTGCAGGTGGTCGCTCGACAGCTTCATTATTGGACCACTACTTTCTTCGGCCTGTGCACCTCACTCATCTTCGCTATGAAGAATACTACGAGCAATACATACTCTATCCACTTCCACCTCACGAAGTCTTAAGAGAACATGAGTCTGTCAAGCAGGTGAAAGCTGGAGTTGTTCAAAAGATGGTCAGAAGAAGGTTGAGAAGCCACAAGATTGCACGCATCGACACCGTCCCTATTCAGAGCAGAGAGGTGTTTTATCTTCGCAGCCTCCTGCTGCACAAACCAGCATCATCCTTTCAAGACCTACGAACTGTGAATGGTCAGGTCTTCAACACTTTCCACAAAGCTGCAAATGACCTAGGTTTATTCCAGAATAACAGAGAAGGCTTGCTCATGCTACAAGAAGCTGTGGACTGTCTACGAACGCCTGCACAACTTCGTTTTCTATTCGCACAAGTCTTACTCGAAGGTTATCCCGCAACATCATTATGGGAGCAGTTCAAGCACAATCTGTCAATTGATCACATTCTGCATGTCAGAGATGACACAAACAGTTACAGACACACACTGCACCAAATCGAGGACATTCTCGCGCACAGTGGAAGACACCTTCAAGACTTCGGGATGTGCATTCCTGACAAGCACACGGCTGAATTAATCAGCGAAGATAGATTTCTAGCATCCAACCGTGCTGCATTTGAAGCACAACGGGACAACATGTGTGAGATGTTGAACGAGGAACAGTGTTACGTTTTTGATGCTATTTGCGATGGCATACAATCCCAACGACACCGCATGTTCTTTGTGGAGGGTTGACCAGGAAGAGGCAAAACGTACATGGTCAATGCGCTAGCATCGACACTCCGGGCTTCTGGACACATCATTCTGATTGTGGGAAGCAGCGCACTCTGCGCAACAGCTTACAAGCGCGGTCGTACTGCTCATTATATGTTTGGAATTCCCGTGACCGACGACAACGTCGACCTTCATTCAACAATACATCCCTTCTCTGCTCGAGCAGACCTCATTCGAAACGCAACTGCAATCATATGGGATGAATTGCCCATGGCAAATAGGGCGGCATGGGAATGTGTAGACAACTTATGCCGTCGGATTATGAATGTCTACGACAAACCTTTTGGCGGAATTCCGATCATCGGCTTGGGAGACTTTTGTCAAGTAGCTCCCGTCGTCAGTGGTGCAGGAGAGTAGGCTTCTCTGGCTGCGTCCGTGAAATCATCTCCTCTATGGAAGTTCATGCACATCTTCACTCTCAACACGCCTGTACGCACATTTGGAGACCCAGAGTACACCAAATTCATGGACACGTTAGGAGAGGACTGGTCCGGGAAATGTCAAGCTCTCCATCTCATCAATCAAATCGGGAGCATCACTGATGCCGTAGACTTTCTCTTTCCCCCGCACATTCTACTGGATCCAATGACGTGCATTCAACGAGCATTCCTTTCTCCTCGCAATATATTGGTAGACGAATTCAATGACATCATGCTCGAAGCGCTGCCTGGAGATTTCGGTGAGCACCTATCATGTCCAACAACGCCAGAGACTGATGAATGAACAATACAGAATCTTATTTCAGCTCAGACTATCTCAAAGAAGCGGACCAGGCACCTCCAGATGCACCAGAACAGACACCGGAATACTTAGCAATGTTGACTCACACAAACACGCCTCCACACTGCCTCGATCTCAAGGTAGATGCGGTGTGCGCGATACAACGAAACATGTCGGTCGAGAATGGATTAGTGCGAAACGCGTGCGTGTGCATCACCACGCTTCATCGCAGATTCGTCGAAGTCGAAGTCCCTCAGACTGGTGAGACGCATTGCTTGCCTCGCATCACATTCTCTTTCAAGCCTCCATGGAGCACCTGGACGGTCAACCGAAAACAATTTCCTCTCAGACCGGCCTACACGACCATGTTCAACGGATGTCAAGGTCTGACGTTGCAGAAAGCAGTACTAGACCTGCACACGGACAACTGTACATGGCGTTGTCGAGACATTCGTGCGCTATTTGGAGAGACTGAGGATGAAAAGACGACGGCGAATGTAGTGTATAAGCATCTGTTACTATGATTTAGGTTGAACTACGTCTGAAGGCGATCGGAGCGCTTGTCTTGTATAGGCTGCTTCCCAGCTCTCGAATAGCTCTAAACCAAATCTCTCACACAGATAGTGAGAAAAATATATTATAAATATATCTCAGGGCTCATTGACACCTTGACCATTTTTGGGCTCTATAATAGGTTTTCAGCAACTGACAGTGTACCACATAAATGTGGCAGTAGACACACCTATATATCGAGGTCAATCTCATTGAGATCGCATCTCAGGTAGTCATTCCAAGCCTTCATCTGAAAAGTACCCAAGTTCTTGCTTAAGTCGCTTAAGCTGTCAAAGAAGTTTGGTGACTTACAACCTGCACCCTGAAGCATCCAATTGGTTGGAGATGGCTTATGGTGAGGTAAAGTCACAGAGATCTACAAAGTTCGTGTTATTGCGTCTGCACATCTTATTGTTGCCTAGATAGTGAACTGATAACATCACACTAATATAATTCCTACTACTACTGGTACACTGTTGGATGAAATGAACTAATAAAAATCTGCGTGCAATGCGTGATACCATTCCTTGTCTGAAAAACTGTTGAGGTAGAAGGTATCATAAAGTTCCAAGGATGTCGCAGCAGTAACATTGTGATTAACTCTTTGACCATATTCAGGAATCAACTCGATCGCATGAGTGACATCAACAAGCGGTATAATCATTCCAAGCCTCGCTCGTGTACCATCAGGACTGGTCTTGAACCGTCGCTTGACACAGTACATCATAACTGCATGATCATCCTGCGGACGTGAGATCACTTCAAAGAGTTGCACGTAAAGAAGTGGCTCAGAAAGTCCGGGAGGCAGCGCAGAACCCCTCGTTGACAAGCCAAATACCATTCGAACTTGTGCAACTACGACTTGATCTAGAGGACCGGGTTAGTACAACGATGCTAATAAGACATTGGTGTCTCATCATCATTCTGCATCCGCAGGAGTACCATATCACAATTTCCAAGGGGATACGCTCCGGACGGTGGATACACTTGTACTTGTTGGCTTGGCATCACAAGACGTGGGCGCAGGTCTGAATGTAACTGTAGACGGAATTTGTTCCAAACCTTAAGGAGACGCATTTGAAAGTGGGACCCTGACACATTGACGCGCTCAATAAAGGCATGAAGTAGATTAGGGAAGTTCGGAAGATGATATAACCACACCAAAAAGTTAGGTGACTTGTCAGCCAGATCACTAGAAACAGTAACGTGGAATGCGACACGGCTATCTTCTGAAAGAAGCCCCTTGAGAAAATGGTTGTGGACTGGACGGGGACCATGAAAACGAGAAACTTCCTCAGGAGAGACGCGCATGATCCAATCAAACGCCGGGTCAATGTCGACAACTTCCTCAAATTCATTGTCGATCAGATTATTGATGGACAACGATTTTGAGCGGAGGAGAGCATACTTCCCAATCCAAAAGGTGGACGATTTGCTGCATAAAGCTTGCACGCTGATGACTAGTGCGCGTAAAAGGACCTTTGCAATGCGTGATCAGCATGCGTTCACTGGTCTCAGATGTAAACTGGATTGGGGCGCCAAGATTAGGGATAGCTCGAGCAAATGAAGTGAGAAGTTCGAGTTTAGGTATTTCAAAGTGCTCAATAGGACCGGAGGTCCCCCTGTGAGCCTCAGCACTGATAATAGCTCTTTTGAAGCGATGGAATTCTTCAAGTGAGGATGTCATAGCAGTGATTGAGGACAGAGTGAAAGTTGGAGATTGAGCTTGGTAAATGAAATCGATAAGCGCACGAATTGCTTGGATAAAGTTCGCATCAGCAACGCCCACAAGTGTAGCAACAATTGTGCGCTGGATATCCCGATGCTCCCGCCCAGTCATTTTCTGGACGTGCGACACACCTTGGGAAAAATGATGAGTGCCAATACATTTGTGCTGTCTATGAAAGCGCGAATCGAGCTCATCCGCCCCCAGAACTTCCTTGCACCACTTGAAGATATGGTCAAAGAAAAATTTGTGGAGTGTATGTAGGATGTCAGGCGCAAGGAAATATGCAGGATCACTAAAGCGCCAGTTGTGCCAGAAGGGAAGTTGGACCCCGCTGAGGTAAAGTGATTTGGCTTCCTCTTGGAATTATTGAACCTTCCAGGGATCTACATGTTGGCAAAGTTGGTGCAGCACTTCAATCATGATATTCCCATGACGAGGAGGATATGATACGCCATCCCCAAACTGTGACTGGGTAGCCAAGGTAATGGGTGATGCGTTCTTACTGACACACACAATCATCTGCTGTTCAGGGAGGTCCGCAGTGTATGCGACAAGGGGGGTGAATGCATAGCGCGAGTGACCGGATGGATCCACCATGCTTGTGCCAGTTGCAGCGGTGATTTTAAGGTTTTCACAAATGATATCTACACACCAGTGCCAGACACGGGCTTGCAAGAGCGAGCAGAAGTCTGGATGACAAATAAATTGTGGGATAGGCATATACGCGATGCATGACCATGCGTGCGAAGTAGCTTTCATGCGGATGTCCGATCGAATGTTGGCTGTAGTGAGAAACATAGGATGCATCTTGAGCCCACCTGATTGGCGGGTGACCAGGGTTTTATCAGAAGCAAGAACTATTGGAACAATAGTAGCACCCGATGGGAGCTGGTCCTAAGAGGAGGATGGCTATCATTAGGTAAAATCTATAGAATAAAGTGCACTATATACCTGAATACCATGAGCCCGTGAGCAGGACATCCATTCACCATATTCTCGTTCTCCATTGACCTGGATCTTGTATGGATCAAACTCCATATCGTTGGCGAATACCGGGTTACCAAAAATGTGCCACATCACCTCCAGGGCATCATGCCAGATTAGGTGTACAGGATGGGTGGTGATGTAACCTTTGGTATGAATGGTTGTACAGCGCCATTTCGGTCCCTTTGGCAGGGCATCCATGAAGGTGAACATCTGTTGCGCAGACTTATACGCCAGTGGTTTCCGTGTTTCTGACTTAACCTGCTTGTATGTCATTAGTGATAATTCAATAGGTGGTCATTCAAGCCGACTGACCCACAATAGCTTCAGAAACCTAGTAATTTGACCCTGGTTAAGATTGTCACTAAGAAATTTTGCTAACTCCCATTCCTCCCTGTCGGCAAATGGGTAGTACACGTTATGTGCACGATGAGCTTCGTAGTCATGAGCCTTCATACGCTCAAAGGAGTTTGGTTGGTGAAAACCATAGATAGATCCCGAGTTTTCATGATAACGAGCTGTGCGCTCCTCCCCTGGACCAGCGGGTTGGCAAATTGCAAGTGGAACAGGTACACCGTTGCAGTGTGGATCATCCGTCAGGTGATTACATAGATGCTCTACTGATGTGAATTGTGTTGCACAGGTAGGACAATCATATAGCACCCCGCTAGCAACTAGAGTCATCCCTTGGTAAGTAATTGATATCCAAAGCACTCACCTTCCAGCTCTAAATGACATCTCATCTGAGATGAAGTTATAAGGGTCTGGTGAGTGGTCTCTTTCTATGCCGGACGACATTCAGGTGATTATCGATGTGTGGCGATTGTATTGATGTGCAGCGATTGCAAGTTTGCATTGCACGTTTGCCAGCAGTCCTCGAAGATTTATAGACTTATCCATGGCAATTGCCAATACCAAGTCTGCTGGCAATTCCTCAAAAATTCATCAACTCCTTCAAACTCCGACGTGCAGTGCGTGCGCAGACTGAGAAAGCTGACTGGCCCGATATCACCTGTGAGTTACTCATCCCTATCATGCCAGACGTCCTTATTATGAATCACAGACCTCTGGATCCTCCTAGCCCAGCCAGCTCTGCGACTTACATCGAGTGTTCTTCTCCAGGTTATAAGGCTCCCATGATCCATAAAGGAAAATTCAACGAGCCACTATATTCCAGTCATTCACCCACTAGCATGTCGTCTAGATTGTCAACTGGGGTCAACCATGATATCCCTCCTGGCAACTTTTTGGCTGAGGTAGAAGTCTAAAATCATATATTGTTCACTGTGTTCTGATTAACTACTATATATTAGGCACAAGCCATCTTGAGTGATTCTAACATCCCTATGGACATAATCAAAGAGGCCATCTCAGCTCAGTTTGCTACCTGTGAGAAGCACCGCAACCTCCTAATGTCAAAGATGTGGGAGCTTGAAGAAATCAATTGGTGGAAGAGGTTTCAGAAACACACCATTGCTACCTTGCAGAGGGAGCACAGAGTTGCTCAGTCAGGGTTGAAACTATGGTTAGATTTAGCACAGAAACAGATTTCAAGAGATTCGGCCGATACCATCCAGACCTACTGCAGAGAACAGGAGGCCCTCACCGCTGTACAAACAGACCTTGTTAACTTGGAAGGACTTGCTTCTTCCCGGGGGATGGCTGATGGAGATTTGATTCAAGAAGGCATGGACGATAACGATGACGACGACGAAGATTCCGCCATGTCAGACAATGGCAGTATTGTGAGTTTAGTTTCTTTTCTTTGTAATTATAATTATTAAATGTGTTCATTATTACTAGGGAGAATATGAATATTGTGAATACGTGCGTAGTAAATTATTCAAGTTCGCGCATGTGGTGAGTCTAGCCTTTTCTTATTGGCGGGATCAATCACTGATCTGCTATCTATCTCTACTAATCAGGAAGGGTGCCTGTTTTTGTGTTAGACGTTATGTATCAAACTTTCCGGACCAGTGTTTTGTAGCCAACATACTATGACATTGTTATTACCCTTCTCGTCACGCCCAGATTGAAGTCGCGCTGATAGCCATGCCTCATGATATGGCATGTGGGTGATTATCTTTTCATCGATCGAGAAGTGTGAATTATCGAAAGGTAAGACTAATTACAACGTACTGACTATTACATCTTAAGCCCTTCCCTCCACCATGCCCTCCAAGGCTACTGCGAAAAAACGATGTCCCCCGCGAAAAAATGCAAAAGTAATAAAAAAACCAGGGCATAAATCAGACCTCAATCCTTCCCTCCAACCGGACAGCACCCAACTTGGACTTCAAGAAGAATATACCCAGCCCCCGCTTTTGTACAACGACCTCTCAATGATGGAACAATACAATGACAATGAGGGAGAGGAGGAGGAGGAGGAGGAGGAGGAGGAGGAGGAGGAGGAAGCGCGAAATGATCAGCGCGGGTCCTACCAGGAGGACCACCAACCACTTCCATACGACAATCTCCCTCAGCCCCACTATGGGGACCCTGGTGCTCCTCAGCACTACCAACCCCTTCCATATTACCCTCAGCCAGACCACGACCCCGTTCCTCAACATTATCAACCCCTTCCCTATTACCCTCCGCCACAAATGCCGTATGATTATCTGCCACCTTCCAGTCCCCCTCGTGACCCGTGCTTTGACAACAAACTTAGTGTGCCATCATCCAGCCGGCAACCTGCTCCCCCCCCCCATCACCAGACACGTATGACTATCTACCAAATGTACCAACATTTGAAGATCTCGTACCTCCTGGAATCCAGGAACTCGAGCACACTACACGCTCAAGGTTCAGAGGTCTTGATCGAATGTGAGGAGAACACCTCGAGTGCCAACGGGCTCGTTGTGCAGCCCAAGTAGGCACCAATGTTCCCGGAATCCGCACCGTATTCATATACAATCTGCGCCGCCATCCAGCAGAGAGCCAACGAGGGCAACTCATTACAACTGGCATCATCAGGGTAAGTCTTCTGAATCTGGTTTTATTTTTGTTCTTATTTTACAAATGTAGCCTACAAGCGAAGTATCTATTACAGTGCCGATTCCATCCCGATGACAACTACCAGCACCCATTACACCATCCAGCCCTCAGCCTAATGCTGATCCTGGACCCCAGCAGCACCCTTGGCAGCACTTTCAAGATGTTCCCACGTACCGTCAGACCCTATTATTATGTAGCAAATATATAGTCTAAGAGACCCCCTCCTCCAGGAGGCTTCGCCCTAGTTTTCCAAGGATGTGTGGCCATCCCTCGAGAGCATGTAACCAGAGCCTCGTCACAGAGGGTAAGCGCAACCTCCTGGTATGTTCCCTGGAGAGCCTCAACATAGCAGCCTCTCCAGATGCTCACTGCCTGCCTCCCCATGTCAGCATCTCCAGATGTCGGCAAGTGTGATAGCGGATGTGTTCTGGAGCCTCTCCGTATCTGTATGTTATCCATACTTCCATACTTCCATATTCCAGTTTGAATGTTTTATTCCATTTCTGCACCCAATCCTCCGTGATCATGATTGTCTTGAGGAGTCAAACGAGGCCTGATCACATACAAAACATTGCATTGGCTGATACTATGGTAGATACAAAGGACACGGTAGATACGTCAACGTTCGACAGCAAGCACGACAACCAAAAATGACGAAACAACTCAATATATACACGGCTGAGGGAGTCACCTGAATGCAAAAAATGAGGCCTGCGAGCCTAAGGAGTTCGTCCTCAATCCTCCTGGTCCTTGGGGTACTCATTAGGATACTCATGCCCATACCCATGCTGGTATCTGCCTTGTGGACCAAAATATGCACTGCTGGGAGGGTGCCAATAAGTATTGACATAACTGTCATATCCATTGTGAGAATTGTGGTAGGGAGCATCATGGTAATCACCATGATACTGAGGCTGAGGACCATGGGGGGGCTGGGGGGCATGAGCCATATGGGAGTCATGGTAATATTCGGGCGGCAGGTAACGAGCAAAGCCTTGTCCATAGTGCGATGGCATTGGACCCCTTGGGCGTGGACCATACATCCCTGGTCTCATGTCTGCATTGTGCGCCCATGTCATGGAGTGACTCTCGGCATTAAAGTCTCCGTCGGTAGGTGCAGCCGCCATCTCGGATTCAGTGTAGATGAGGAATCTTGACTAGATGTGAAAACACTTAAAACAAAAAGGTGCTCAACAGCAAGACCAGGATACGAGACAACGACTCGACCCAAGGGACAACCACTGAGAGAAGTTCCTCGAAATAAAGTGGAGGGAAACTCTATGAGCTAGGCGGGCGCTAACAGGCGCGAGAAGATAATGCGCGCGAAGGCGCGCGTACGCGAGGCAAAGGCACGCGTTATGCGCGCGTGAGCGGGAGGTTCGAGAATGCGCGCGCGCGAAGCGAAGGCGCGCCTTGAGCGTTAAGGGAAAGGTCCTATTGAGGAGTGAATGCCCAGATGGATGATTGACAGGAGAATCAGATCTTATAACAAGTGAGGAGGTGATCTATACACTTTCCAGTACACAAAGATAAGGGGAAAAGTAAGTACCAGAACCAAAGGAAACCCTTCTGTATTTAAGAATGGAGATGGCGCGCTTCCGAGCGCGCTCCCGAACCGAGTAACCATATCAACTCTAATTATAACTAAGTTTAAATAAACTTTCTATAAGTAGCGTGGACATTGGACCGAAGATTTTATTAGTTCAATGGATAAGATAGAAATAACGCACCAGTGAATCAGTAAGGACATGGGACGGATGGACGGACAATAGCGCGAAGACCTATGAGGAGGCGCGCGAAGCGCGCATATAGCGCGTGCATAGGTAAGGCGCGCCTAAGTGCGCGCGAGACTGGTCCTTAGGATTAGAGCTGTCGCATATAGGAATGTATGGGTAAAGACCGGATATCCGGCATTGAGACGCGCGAGTCTCTACATCGGTACGCTGCTCATGATGGGATTGTGACATCCCCATGACAGGCTCCCTGCGCCCAATGGGTTGGTCGTGAATTGTCACAGGCTGCAGGGATGGAGGTTGCATGAGAGGTGACTTAGCTGCTGGCCCAAGAGATTTCCCGCGCTGCAGGGATGGAGGTCGCACAACAGGCGACTTAGAAGCTGGTGCGAGAGATCCTGCACGCACGATGTTGTCTGGGAATAAGTCTACCGAAGCATGACGAGTTGGCGAGGGAGGCAAGGGACATGTGGGGAGGCTGTTGGTAGCATCAACATTGCTTGAGCGAGTCTCTGCTGCAGCTTTGTTGACGGCACTACCATCAGGAGCATCGACGTCATTATCCATGATGGGATCGACTGCAGTCACAGGATGCTCTAAGGATCATGTCAGTCAATGGAAATTGTAACAATGTAGTCAACAAATTCATACCTTGAGCTGACGAACCATCAAGCAGACGTTTAGCAGGTTTGGCTACAATATACATCAGTCGCCTTATAGAAGCAAATGCAAGAGGAACAAACATACCTTGTACATCTCGAATATGTTCATCACCGGAGGACTCAGCAGTCCCCGACAGTGCTCTCCTCTCAGGCACCTTGGGTTTAGGCCTCACAGGTACCTTACCTTTCGTCTTCTTTGCTGAGACTGCCTTCTCTGCAGGCGCAACAGACAGTGACCTCTTCTTGGATGCTCGCGAGGCGCCTTCGGATTTCGCCTTCCACTTCTTGGAGGAAACATCATCTTGGTAATCGGAGTCGAGAATCACTGATTCCTCCAGGTTTTCATCTAGGTCCTCTGAGCCAGACGGAGTATCACTAGACGCCAAGGAAATGACCTCCTTGTCGACCTTCTTCTGGCCCGTCGGGCGCTTAATGACTTTGAATTCTCGGGAGGGGGGAGGCTGGGGGCAGACAGGTGCAGACACGCTTGGTTCGTCATCGGACTCGTCAGCAAGAGATGTTGTGGAAGCAGGCAGTGCCAATGCTTTCTTTGATGTTTTGCCTTTGACTATGGAAGTAGCTGTGCTCTGCTTCAGGTGCAGAGCACCCAGGCGATCTGATTTGCCATTCACAAAAAGGCGACATCCTGCAGTATGAACCAAATCTGCTGCAGGAGGCGCGCCCTCCACTACTGGGCACTCAGAAGTGAGGACTTTAGCTGTATAAAAAGATCATTTGTAAGCAGGCAAAGACTGAAATTGAATAAAAACATACCTTGCTTAGCTTTGGCAATTTTTTTGATGCTCATGGTCCCCGCCTTCAAGGCTGCGATGACAATGCTGGTCTCCTTCAGAGTCAGGTTTGCGATACCTTTATTTATGGTGGTATGAAAACCACCTGGGAGGAGCACGTCCTCCGGATATCCTTTGATGATCATTGACATACGTGTGAGCTCCGATGGCAGTGTCTTCCATGGAAAAATCTTGTTGGACGTTAGTTTTCCGCTTAGTGCATCTGTCCCTCAGTGTCAGCGAACAAACGACAAATGAAATACACTCAAAATACCAATTTGACGATGCAACTCATCCTTGATCCACTTGATTCCATGCTTGGAAATGTCGAGAGATTCTGAAGGGGGGACTGAAGCCCCGCGTACGTTGGCCTTGGTCCCAATGCTGTCTTCATCAAAGGCCTCTTCGACGACACCGAGTGATGTCAGGTTACTAATGATTACATGAGAACTTCATCACCAGGAACATCGAGACAATACTTACTATACCTGGGCTTTCAAGTGACCGATGATAGTATCTTCATCAGCCCTACAGCGCGATTTCCAAAACTAAAATTAAGATAGTGATTAGGTGACATTTATGTGGCCTACAAATACTCACACCCTCAGCTCCAGGTGTCGTATGGGCTAGGCCCAGCGAGCCGTCTTGATTAACGACTTTTCCGCACACTACAAAAGCAGCCTCAAAGCCATAGCGAGCTGCTGCAGAGTCCATCTGTCTACCCTCAGTAACACAATAGTAAAACATGACGGAATTATACTCACAAGGCCAGAGATCTTTGTGCCAAATTTCTGGAACTCTTGACCCCACATGGCAACCGTCTGAGGAATACCCAGGAGCATCACTGACTGTTCATGAAGCTCGAGGATGTTTTGCCACTTGTCCAGGAATGCTGCCTTGAAGAGTTCATAGCAATTACGGGGCACAGTGGCACCTTGAATCACCGCATTAGAATGACAGAACATCGGCCACAAGATGTAAAACTCACTTGGTGTGCCATGAATCTCGGGGGCCCTCCTGCCGAGCCTCACAAGCTCGTCCTTGAGGTAGTCCTTGAAGTAACTACTGTAAGCGTTCCAATGGTTGACAGTACTGGTGGAGCGTGCATGGCTCTTGTTCCAAAGTGTGACAATCTGATGAGTGGGGATGGCTGTTTTGCTACTTAGATCTTGAATCATATGTTCGAGTTCCACGAATCCCTCTTGGAGCACAGCATTCGCTGTCTGAAATCTTCGCCCCTTCACTGCAGGGACAACATCAGATGTATCGTCCACGGGGAAGTCGAAAGCATCATCCATGGGAAAGTCGTCAGTGTAAGGATGACCCTCCCATTCTGCAGGCCCTGTGGGAGTAGGAGGTGTGATGTACGTCTGAGGCACAGCAGGTAGCAATGTCGATGAGCCGGCAATGTGGTTGTCATCTCTGCCATTTTTGAAGGAACCCAACATCATACCACTGAAGTCATATTGTTCCAGTGGTAGAAACGAGGGTTTTGTAAAGAAGTTGGGCTGTGGAGGCTGGCCACCATCTGGGCGAGCATTCTCAGATGAATTGATAAGAGGAGCCTCGTAAAACACATCTTGTATAGGAAGCTGCAAAGGCACCGAACGCTCTCGAAGAGCAGGCTGAGGAGGCACTGAACGCTCTTGAAGTGCAGGCTGAGGAGGCACCGAACACTCTCAAAGTGCAGGCTGAGGAGGCACTGAACACTCTCAAAGTGCAAGCTGAGGAGGCACTGAACGCTCTCGAAGCACAGGCTGAGGAGGGGTTGAGTATTCAGCATCAGCGAGCAATGTATCAAGTACCTGTCCATTGGAATCCGCCATAAACTCCTCGTTGAGAAGCCTGGCCTGACGCATAGAAGCTTCCTTCACTAAACCTGCATCACGGTTTGTAGCTTTGATGTGACTGTGGAGTTTTGTAGGAGTGTGCTCCACTGGTGGATCTTGATAGCGCTTTCCTCCACCAACTTGTTCTTCAACAAAGTCTTCTTCAGTGTGAGGCGCCTCAGGATGCTCGGGCTGCAGGGACTCAGGAGGGGCAGAGTATCCAGGTGGCAGGGAATCTTGAATTTTAACTGAGGTAATTTTAGCTGAGGTTTGGGTCATAGCTAGGCCGATAAGTTATGATCAAGCCAGGGGCACGAGAGGGAGAAGGAGAAAAATTCAGACTAGAATGCAGGAGGGAGAGGGAGAAAAACATACCAAATCAAAGTATTTTTTAAACAATACAATATGGTGAGGAGGTAGCGGGAGAGGAAGAGGTCAGACCAAGGGCAAGACACCGTTGAATATGCCCAGGAGAAAAGCTGTCACAAAGAGATCCGCTGTCTGAACTTTGAAGACAGAAGTTAGGAATGGAGGTCATGATCGGCGAGAACAGACTTGTTTAGCTCACATATGGTATTCCAGGAGCATCGGCAGAGCCTTCTCCAGACATCAGAGATTGAATTATCAAGCCTAGCTACGACTAAGGCTTCTGAGTGGTTCAGATTGAGTTCGATGCAGGAGGGAGAAGCAGAAAAACATACCAATGTCACAGTATTTTGTAGGGTCAGACGAAGGGCAAGACACTGTTAAATTTGCCTAGGAGAAAAGCTGTCACAAAGAGATTCGCTGTTGGAAGACAGAAGTCAGGAACTCTTAGCTCACACGTGGTAGTCCAGAGGTAGGCAGGAGCATCGTCAGAGCATCTCCAGATGTTTGAGATTGAATTCTCCATACATTTCATCCATCAGCATCAAAGTCACAGAGTTGAGATAGTTATACATATACGCAACATATGAGCCGGTTCAGTAGTCGTTGTAGTTCTGGTACAAGAACCCTTTGAGAAAATGAACTACCGCTAACTCGGCATCTCCATCGGTGAGTGCGTGACAGTAGATGTCATCTACCATGGCAATCGTGTCGCTCATGCCCCAGCAAACTTGATCTGCAGTGCGCCACTCGTCACAGACCCCGCACAATTGAAGTATATCACCTTGCCCTCGAGTAGCCCTCTCGAGGAAGTCCTCGATGCTCGACATCGCACATTTGAAAATTTCTCGATCTCCGTGTCCTCCAGGAGTGTCGGGGATAGATTTTGTGTATTCAGCGAAGACGCCCAAGGTGAATGTTCGTGGAGATCGAACATATTGCATGAAGTCATCCTTGGCGTATTTGACCATGGCAATGCAATCAGCCAATGTCTCTCTAATAAAAATATTATAAACACGTCCAAGACAATAATATTTAGGACTTACAATGATTCTGGGGGATCATCTTTGTTGGTGTAGCATCTCTCCCTCCATTTCGCGAGTATCATATCACGGCACCTGTATCTTTGTTCAGCTTGGGAGTATTGGGGGCTAACTGAAACAAATGTCACATACATGGCATAGTACTGGCAACGCTTGGCCCTCATAGCTTTGAGCTTGGCGGCCGCACTTTGGTATTCGGTCGGAGGGTCCATAGTGTAACTAACAGTGTGAAATATTGTGAAGCAACGGAGGAATATGAGCACCTACATACTTGAAAGTACAGTCGAGTGTCCTGGCGTACAATGTAAGATCCGCATGGGTTGAAGTTCTGTTGAGACCTAGGAGGATCCACACACCTGGAATTCGAAGATCCGTTACTATGTGTCTGGGCCCATAGCAAACGTGCCTCTTTGGTTGTGGGTAAGCAGGAGTATGAAGGACTCGTGTGAAGATACAGTTGAGTCTTTCAGGTCGTGTCAGTAATTGTAGGACCCACATGACTGGAACTTACAGGCTGCATATCCTGAGGATCCACACGCCTGGAATTTGAAGATCCATTACTACATGTCTGGGCCCAGTGCCTCTTTGGTTGTGGGTAAGCAGGAGTATGAAGGACCCGCATGAAGATATGGTTGGGTCTTTCAGGTCGTGTCAGTAATTGTAGGACCCACATGACTGAAACTTACAGGCTGCATATCCCGGCACCATGCCAACGAGTCATTTTGACGCATGAGAATTTGAACTTTGTGACCTTCCTCGATGATCATCAATGAGGTATCTCCATTATTACGACTTACAAACTCGGAAGCTTTCAGAACCTTCTGTCCATGAGGCTTCTCGGCGCTAACACATGACTAAAATTTACAGGCTGCATATCCTGGCACCGTTGTAGATGAGGAATCTTGACTATACATGAAAACACTTAAAACAAAAGGGGTGCTCAACAGCAAGACCGGGATACGAGACAACGACTCGACCCAAAGGACAACTACTGAGAGAAGTTCCTCGAAATAAAGTGGAGGGAAACTCTGTGAGCTAGGCGGGCGCTAATAGGCGCGAGAAGATAACGCGCGCGAAGGCGCGCGTGCGCGAGGCGAAGGCGCGCGAGATGCGCGCGTGAGCGGGAGGTCCGAGAATGCGCGCGCGCGAAGCGAAGGCGCACCTAAAGCGTTAGAGGCAAGATCTTACTGAGGAGTGAGTGCAAAGGTGGAGGATTGACAGGAGGATATGATCAGATAACAAGTGGGGAGGTGATCTATTCACTTTCCAGTCTACAAAGACAAGGGAAAAGTAAGTACCAGAACTAAAGGAAACCCTTCTGTATTTAAGAATGGAGAAGGCGCGCTTCCGAGCGCGCTCCCGAACCGAGTAACCATATCAACTCTAATTATAACTAAGTTTAAATAAACTTTCCATAAGTAGCGCGGATGTCGGACCGAAGATTTTATTAGTTCAATGGATAAGATAGAAATAACGCACCAGCGAATCAGTAAGGACATGGGACGGATGGACGGACGATAGCGCGAAGACCTATGAGGAGGCGCGCGAACGCGCGCGCGAAGCGCGCATAGCGCGTGCGTAGGTAAGGCGCGCGTAAGTGCGCGCGAGTTCGGATAAGGCGCGCGCGAGTGCGCGCGAGACTGGTCCTTAGGAGTAGAGCTGTAATGTATAGGAATGTATGGTTAAAGGCCGGATATTCGTCATTGAGACGCGCGAGTCTCTACACCGTGCCAATGAGTCATTTTGACGTGTGAGAAACTTTATGAACCTTCCTTGATGCCATCATCAGCAAGGTATAACGCGCCTTCTGGCGACTTTGAGCGGGCGCTTCCATCAATTACAAAGGTGCGCTTCTTCATATCTATTGACTCCACCCTCCACTATCGATTAAATCCTCCATTATCAATGATATACGACTTACAAACATCAAACGCTAAATCTATGCGCGATTTCGCAATCGATTACATCCTGCCCTCAAGTCGTTGTTCTTCCTTCTTCGTCGATGGACTTTGCAAAGCTCGACCACGTTCTCAACCGCATCGCATTGCAGCGTGGGTTGCCTGTGGAGGAAGTGTTACAAGAGTGGCTGGAATGGCGTGAAATCAGTGATCCTGATGATTGCAGGCAGTTGGATGGGATACCTTGCATCATGGGTGGTTTGACCGCCTTGTGTGGTAAGTTCTGTTCTTGAGGTTTTCACTGAATCACTGAAATTGTTGCAGGAAAACTTGACATGCGAGCGGGTAACTTCCCTTGGAAGACCTTACCTATCCTACTAGGCAACCATGGCTGCATCCTCCATAACTACCCCGACAACGCTCACAAAGAGCAAAGGTATCCATGACCTCACTCTTTGTGAGCGGAGCATACTTGTAGATGCTCTCAAAAATGACTTACTGACCCTCCAACACATCACTGATCATGATGCCCGCCGAAGACTCTTGTTCTCTCGTGACCCCATCATCTATGGAGAAGCTCCTAGCGCTGAATCACCCCACTCTCATGGACGACGTCAGTTCCTCGATTGTCAGATCGATCGCAGGGGTCTCCCTCGTCTCACACTGGATGAGACTTCTCCAGCGCCTCCTCGTCTTCATCACCGTCCTCGTCCTCAGCGATTCCAATCATCATCCCATTCTCCAGCACCTTCTCCAGCACCTTCTCCAGCACCTTCTCGTCCCCATCCTCGGCGATTCCAATCGTCATCCCCTGAGCCATCTCCTGGCCCTCCCCGTCCCAGGAGTCTCCCTCGTCTCACACTGGACGAGACTTCTCCAGCGCCTCCTCATCCTCGGCGATTCAAATCGTCGTCCCCTGAGCCATCTCCTGGCCCTCCCCATCCTTGTTCTCGGCAATTCCAATTGTCATCCCCTGATCCATCTCCTGGCCCTTCTCACTGTCGTCAGAAACTCCATGTATTTGTTGAGGTGCCACTCGCCCCACCCTCCTGGAAGTTGATTGCTACATGGCAACTGGAAGAGGCGAGTCGTGAAACTCCCTTGCAAACCCTACCTGCCAGTGGAGAGAAGTTGATTGCTACACGGCAACTGGAAGAGGCGAGTCGTGAAACTCCCTTGTGAACCCTACCTGCCAGTGGAGCTGGGTTAATTCCGGAGATAGCCCACCTCAGCCAGACTTCGATGACTACCGTGACAGATGGCCTTGTTGATGATGTAGAAGATTTGTAGAATAACAAATTTTGTACCTGTGGGTTAATTCCAGAGGTAGCCTACCTCAGCCAGACTTCAATGACTACGGATGGCATCATTGATGATATAGAAGATATTGGTGAAGTACCGTCTGAGGGACAACTATAGAAAATTTCAGCTGTATGTAGAGTTGACAAATTCTGTACCTGTGTCCAATTAGGACTTGGATTCGCGTCACACAATCCGCTGAGAGTTCAAACGAGGCTATGGACATTAACTCAAAGGGAAGTATTTGATGGCTTTGGTGGCACCATAGAAGACTTGTAGTGTGCCTTGTTACGATCACTAGATTCATTTACAGCGAGGCTCGTAGAGCACCCTCCCAAGAGGTCAGATAGCCAATCATATCGTGTATAAAACTCCTACTAAACTGAAAACATATCTCTGCAGCATGATATAGCCCAATGTATGGCTATGATAAGGCCCAAAGTGAAGCCGTTATCAGCCTGGTTCAGATGAGATATAAATCTTATGTGCTTTATTTGACACAGACACCTTAATTCGTACAACACCGTTATAACTGGCATTAATGCTTCATCGAGTTGTGAGTTCTTCGAGTCGTTTGTATGTGACTTTAACCTGATTTTGAATCTAGCTCGGCCTATCCTCAACTACACGATGCTCAGGAAACATAGCATCAATCGGTCAGTTGAGTGTCTTGCTCCCTGAAGAGTTTCCTCGTCCTGAAACTACATGAATGTATTGTGTTTGTCTGAGTCGCTAACTCCATCCTTCATTGATTATTGCGTAGCTAGCATACTTGAATCAATGTACTTGTAGTTCTGCGTGCATTGCTTCAACTCCACGATGCTCGGTAAGTATGCCATCAATCACTTAGTTGGGTAACCTGTTCCTTGCAGGGTTTTCTCGTCATGAAAACTACATGAATGTCTATATTTTGTTTGTCTGAGTCACTAGCTCCATCCTCCATTACTTATCTTGAAGCTAGCATACTTGAATTGATATACTGGTAGTTCTGCGCACATTCCTCAACTACATGACTTGGATCAAACTATCAATCAGTCAGTTGAGTAGCTTGCTCCCTGGAGGGTTTTCTCATTCTAACTCTCTTATCCTAAAACTACATGAGTATCTGTGTTCGTTGGTCTGAGTCGCTAACTTTATCATTCCTAATCGGGTACCATACTCAAATCAGCATAGTTCTGCGCACATTTTCAGGAGAGTTGAAGAAGTGGATGGATTGTATATCACATGGTAGGTACTCTAATTACAAGTGTGCATATATAATGTCGGAAAGCTATCATGTCCTCCTCGCACATGCCTGGTCTATGGGATCCCCGAAGGACTGCTGCAAGTGCCGCTAAGACCCAGAGACCACAGTTGTAGCTGTTTGTCTGCAGAGGATTGAGTATTAGTGGACGGGCTACCCACCCTTTAAGATCAATACTAGCTGAGCCACGCTGTTGGTGAGCTATGGATGATAATCTTGCGATAAGATTCATAATGTCCTGTTCACATTGTTAGTTCAATAATGTGTGAATCAAATTATCACTTACTTTAACATCTGTCTTCCATGGGTGTCGTTCAGCCAGGCTATCGAAGAGATGGAGTTCTTTGGATGGAATATATATGGCACAAAACACCCAGTGTCCGACTGGAGAGGGGCGATGAATAGGTAAAAGCCAGAAATCTCTCTCCCAAAACAACGTCCACGACGTATTCCGCCACAGTATGTCGTCCGACGCATTGTATCGAATATGAGGGAGATCGTGGGTAGACAGAATAGCACAAGGTCTCACATGCAAGCTCGTCAGCATCTCAGAGTATAATAGTGCCGCACAACCATTGATACACGTGTCATTAAGGCGGGAAGTGGGATGTGCCAGTAAGGACAGATCCCTTGCATCGAATACCTGGGGTGGAAAGCCATCTTGGGCTGGTCGTACCCGAGTGAGGGGAGTGTTTGATGCTGACACGATGATGTGATCCTCTGGATGGGGAACTTTGAAAGAATCTGTGCAAATATTCTATGATACCGGATGAGTACAGTTACCTATGGAGAGACGAGGACATACCTCTGGAAGCTGCCAGCTAATCGTAAATTCAGGTAATCCCATGGGTTCATCATCTTCATCATCACTAGCGATATTGTCAGGTAAAATGTCCAAGAGGACAGCTTCTTCAGCAATCTCTTCGAGTGCAGGGGCAATATGTTCGTCAGTATCATCCTCGGGGGAGTCTGCGAGCACCAATGAGGTTGGTACAAGCCTGTACATGACAGCTTGCAATGGTCCCGTTGTAGAAACAACAATACTGAGAGGAACAATTGAATGCTCCTGACTGTATCTATAAAATGTTGTAGGTCGTGCATTGCCTAGTCTGCGTTACTTGAGGAGACAAGCGCGTTCGACCCTAAAGGGAAGCGAGTGCAGCAAAGATCTAGAGGTACGCGCTGAAGCGAGGCACGAGAAAGCGCAGGTGTGCGCAAGGTACGAAGGCGCGGGAATGCGCGCGCGTATTAGCGCGAAGCGCGGGAAAGCGCGCGCGCATGTGCGGAAATGAGAAAGAGTAAGCTTAAGTGAGGATATAATGTAAGACAAGTGAAGAGAGGTGCAAAGTGCAGACAAATAGATTTCAACTATGTTCTTCTAGGTAGATAGTGGGTGGAAAGTATAGTAAGGTGGAAAGTTCAGTAAGGTAAAAAGTAGTTCGAAAAAGTCCAGTTGTACTATGTATTGCTGGCGCTTATATAGCGCGCCTAAGTGCAGTCATGTGGAGCCGAAGCGCTACCGAGTAGGTATGTAAGATATATATGGGTGAGAGTCCATGATAAAAATAAAGATGGAATAATATGCAGATGAGAGAAATAGAAATATATGCACTAGAGAACATGGTGGACAGTGGATGGATGCATCTGGATGGCTGGCGCTATAGGGCGCTCAAGCGCGGGAACGCGCGCGCGCATATACATCGCGAAGCGCGGGAAGGTTGCGCCTCATATAGAGATAGCTGCGGGTAGCGCACGGAGTGACGCTACAAGTTCGTGCTATGTACTCCTTAGTGAAAACTGCCATATTACACCATGAGAGGCATGATTCTCTACACTGTGCTCTCGGAAAGCGTAATAGCAAGATTGACCGCCATGTTAGCACTGCTGTTGAAACGAGTAGCAGATGCTAGTGGGGTAACCCATTTACTTTGTAACTGGAGAAGGTGATCCCATCATTGTTGGAGTGGGAACACGTATGTATGATCTTGTGAAATAAGTAATGATTGTCGATGTAAATGAAATTGCTTACTTGTAGGAGAGCGGATGGCAAGTTCTAGCGCAGTGAGCTCAGCTCCAAACCATTGACAAAGGTTATCTGCTTCGTGCCCAATGCGGCGCTGCTCTTCACGACACCGTTCCCGTTTAAGCAACGCTTGAATGCCATCTCTTACGTCAGTGTCTTTGATCCAACAAGGGACATCTCCAACGGATGGAGTGATCCAAACATCCTCCATCAGCATCTGATCTTTGCGAAGATCGGCGAGCTTAGTAGGGAGAGGAGTAGGAAGTGGGATGCCCCAGGATGGGTCAAAGATGCTCTCCAGATGCTCACAATAGGAGTTAAACTTGCGAATTGCTGTCATCAAGGCCGGCTGGCGCTTAGCAATAGCCTTATGTGTCTGCTGATGTAGCTTCGTACCTTGTAGAATGAGTGAATATTCTGAGGCACAAAAACAGAAGGATTATACATTACCAAGTGCCTGATTTGCACCACCAACCGCACGGTCAAGTTTGTCCCATTCAAAAAAGCTTCCTATTGCTCTCTTCTGGATATTTATTTTGAGATCGCGCACCATAAGAAGGGTTTGAACAAAATCCAAATCAACGCCCTGTAGTTCTGGAAATCTGTCGTGAACGTTGAGCGAGGAATATAATGTTTCAACTTTGCTCATCAAACGATCATGGCTGCGCTCGAGGCTCTCCAGAGCATCTAAGATTTCTTCAGTAGCCGAGCCCTTCTCTACAACGGTCCGTGTGAGTTGCAATGCCCTGTCCGATGCGTCTAAATCAGCCTGCAAAGTAAGGACAATGTCAAGCTCCTTCTTCAGTCGTGCAGGAGCATCTGTCAACGGGGATATGTTGATCTTAGTATGGAAGTGGCACCCGTGGACTTACGAGCACGAATGGACAGTTGGGACTTCTTCTGATCCACCCACTGTTCCTGAAGGTCTTGAGCTTCGATACCGCAATTATCTAAAACTTCTTGTGCCGCTGCACCCTGACCATTAACTCCACGCTTGAGCCGCCGTTTAATCCAATCGCCAAGATCTGTTCGCATCTCAAGACCAATGGCGCCTGCTTGCCAGTCTATCAACCACAGACACTTCTGGCGCTATCCATGAACTATAGTCAACAAATAATCATCAGAGTACTAGTACCGACTCACTGATGATGACCTTTGAATGCCAATTAATTTGACGAACCTTGACCATAGTCTTTCAGTTCCCTCCCCGTCTGAGAGGCCAAGACCGTTGCACATGCGAGGGTTATACTCGAGCTGACACGCCCACTCATGGCCATATGCATGCATAGCCGTGGTTGCAAATCGAAGACGTGAAGTCACTGATTTGGGGAGAATATCATACTATATAGATAGATATAAGGTTAAAATATATCTATTAAAGAAGCACTTACTTGAGATAATGACCGTGAGAGGACACACCCAACATCATACAAGGTAATGACAGTGGCTTCCTGCAGCAATAGAGTAAACAGATGCTCGATGAGTGCTACGGCGTATTTCTGTTGCTTGCCAGGTGAATCAATGTTAGCGAAGAAGAGCAGGATATGGTGACGGCATATCAGAGCCATGACGCCCGTATCATCGAAGGAATCCATCGCAGCCTTCTGCTTCTTACCATCTGCGGCCTCATACGAGTGCTCGCATTGGTCAATTGCCTCATCTGGTACTACTAAAGAAGTGCAAATCCTTGGTGCACGTTTACGCTGTGAGAGGATGTGTCGCCCAATGTTGTCCACTTGAGCCTTGGAAAGAAAATATATGGGGTCATAAAAGCGTGGGCAGTCGCCTGCAGATCATCGATGTCGATGATGGAAATTGCCATCCGTTGCAACATGTATGTCGCCACCTTCATTAAGAGGTCTACCAAAAAGGACGCCTCCAAAGCAGGCTGGGCAACGCTGCGTGAGAATGGAGGCGCACCGGCCTTGGATCAATGTTGTACTGGATCGTATGGGGGTAGTTATGCCAGGGTTCTCTTGAGATTGAAGTTTACGGGCCTCATACACTTGTTCACAACAAATTTGAAGTGTCGCTTCAGTCTGCCGTTCGACCTCAATCTGGAGGATGTCAAACCACTGGACAGCTTGGCCAATTCCACGACGAAATGGTTCTTGAATAAGTTGGCCCTGTGTTTTAATGAGTTATTGTCTGAAAACCTGAAACGTCAAAACTCACATCTGTGTTGGTCATGAGAAAGCCTCTGCGGGCATAATGGGTCTTTAGGGCAGGCGCAAGCGCATGGATAGCATTGCATGAACGCTCGAACAAAGCACGATAGAATGCGAGTAGGTCTGTAGAAACAGCCATGCGTGGTTGGGAGGGAGCAGTAGGAAAGAGGCCATGGTAAAGGAGGACTTGTGAAAGTGTTGAACATCGGCAGGCCAATACATCAACAGAAAGGAAACCTGGAATTGTCAATTAAGGCGGCAGATGAGGAACGGACTACTTACGGTCAAAAAAGAGACAAACTATGGAAAATTGTTGATGTGTACAACTAGTATGGCTTGCGCAAGCGGATATGACCGGATGGACTTCTGGAAGAGCATACCCATGTGTCCTTGTAGAATATTTGAGATGAGGATCTACCAGGGTCGGGATAAGCACTTTCCAAGCATTATATAGATTGTTAGCCATCTTGTTGGGCAAGAGACAGCGACACCCAAGGTCTACCTTAGGCACATTTGTAGGGCAAGACGCTACTTGAGCAGGCTGGGCTACCTCCTCGGCGATGTAATTGTTATCATTGTAGTCGTAATTTAGCGTATCGTCAACGTGACCAGCAGTGTGCTCAATATCCATCGGGGCTTGAGACTCAGTAGAGGTGGGGGTTTCAGTGGTCGAAACTTGGGGCTGCATCAATGCAGCCATTTGGTCGAGGAGGTGCTGATGCTTGGAGTTGACGCCGGGAATGTGAACAAGAGTTTGTGTCTTTTTAGGGTCTCGAGCTTTCTTTGGGCTTACGAAGTGGTGTCCTAGCCCCATAGATGTCGGTTGAGTGCCACGTGTGTGGCGGGCAGGTGGCATGGTGATGGATGTAGTGGTGTAGAACAAGAGGCAATGAAAAGAACTTGGGAAACAAAAACAACAAGCAGCTGCAGAGCATAGTAGAGGTCTGCCAGATCTGATGGGTGCACCATATGCATGGAGCCTATCCGGAGGCTTGACGGGATGGGACGGGATATTGGCAAACATTGTAGAGGTATATACAAGGTAAATGGGGAGGTGCGGAGGTCCAAGGGAGGTGCTGGGGAGGGTCGCAAGAGGTCGCAAGGCATATTATGTGTGTGCTATAAATAGAACATCCACGAGGTTGGGTCTGTGAGACTATATAACGCCTACATAATAATACCATCTAAGAGACCTTTATTAATACCGAGAACTAATGCCTGAGGTGCCCAGCAGCTGAAGGATAAAGAGCTGAAAGATGTGAAGAAGGAGGTGAAACGGGTGATGCGCAGAAAGGTGCTCCTCGAGAATGCGATGCCCACGACGGAACACAATACTGAAATGGCTGAGGAAGCATTTTTGGAGGCGGCGGGACATGTAGTATCGGGTGTATCATTGACGGCCTCGCAAATACCGGATCACGCCGAGACCTGCAAGCAGCTATCAGGGATCACGACGACCGTGCGTGGAGTCTTCAAGAAGGAGGCGCGACGGCTCATTCTCAACCACTATTCTCTTTCTCTCAAAGCCAGAGACACAAGATCGTTGACTGACCATAGAGAGACTACTGTTGCCCCACTTCTCGTCAACCATCGCTATCTCTTTGTAAGTCCATTTACTTTGCTTTTGTTCTTAGGTTGCTAAACTGGCTTCTTTCAGAAAGATCCTACAATCATGTCCCCTGTCAACCACCCCGCTGTCATCGAGACAATCTGTAATTCCCTCTGGACCACTCATCTTCACAAAGTGCTCGACCTCGATGAGCTTGACAAGTTCGACGACCTATTCTCAATCGGGGGCGCTGCGGTCCATAACACTCTACTAGAGTTCCAAGACGGTGTATATAAGTCAGTACAATTTTCACCAGCGTCTTTGTCGGCAACGGAGTACAAAGCAATTCAGACCCACAATACAATCGTCCGCGACACGCCTACGCTGCATGCTGCTTTGTTGTCCATAAAGCAGAACATGATTGCTCTGGGGACAGCTTTGCGTGCACGTTGATTAGCACCTTCCTGATAGTAGTAGTACTACTAGATAATCTACTACTAGATAGATAATCAGCGTACCTCTGATAATCGTTGAATCTCTGGAATATATCCATTTTCTGCTAGACAAACTTTACTTTTGAAGCGAAAGTCCTAGCCGCTCGCATAGCAGCGTTACATACTCGGGTAAATAAAACTCCGCTCGACGAGCACTTTCAAGTTTTAGATGTTGGCCTTAAAGCTTAATTGTCAAAACTGTTGAGGATCACAGCCTACAAAGCTTTTTAGATGAAATGATCCCCAAACATGGGACCAAGCGTGGCACAGTCCAGCAAGCTCAATACATCGTATATGCTCATCCGTGATACCCAACGATGGTTGGCTCTTCTAAAGACGTTGGGCTATCATCCTGGCAAGGTGGCCAACGCCTGTTTGATCCCATCAGCCGAACAAACTAAGGAATGTCGTCCAGCAAACGTCTATCAGCGTACAGTGAGAGAATACAATACATGGATGTAGCATAGACCTACGACAGGAAGGTGTGATGGTACCATGGTTAATCTTGCCTGTCCCGTCCTCCCCGTTTGCTGTCCCCGTCTTTGCGCCGATCCCGGTCGTCATAGTCCCGGACTCTGTCACGACGTTTATCGACATCACGATCTCGGTCCCTTCGGTCCAAGTCCCTGTCGCTGTCCCTTCTACTATCATCTCTTCTCCTCCTGCCATCTCGGTCTCCTCGATCATCACGGTCTCCTCGATCATCACGGTCGCGTTCTCGTCGTCCATCGCGATCACCTTCTCTCCTAGGCTTGTCGTAGTCATCATCTCTCCTTCTATCACTCCTCCTTTCACGATCATCGTCCCTCCTACTGCTCTTCGCGTCGCTCCTTCTCTCAGGCGACCGCGAAGCCCTCCTCGAAACAGTCGCACTCCCATTCCTGCTCTCCTCCCTACTACTTTCCTGTCTCACAAGCGGGATATACCGCTTCTCGTCCCCTCTCCGTTTCTTCTTCTGCTTGCTTCCGTCATCCAGTACCTCCTGTTCCTTCGCACCAATTCCTAAGAGTGCAGGGCGCGATTTCGGAAGGTAAGGCTCCACCAGTGCATTCTTCTTTGCTCGTTCCGAGCTTGTAACAGCCCCGCCATCCACCCAACCCATGCCACGAAGCATAGCAGCTCCAAACGCAGTAATGGGCACACGCGCATAGTCCTCGATAGTCGCAACATCCGGAAGATCAGCAACGTCTTGCTGAAGAGCTTCAGTTTCGCTGGGAGGAACAGGAATAGAATCGATCTGAGGCGCCGAGTCCATACCCCCATCCAGCAGCGCACGAAGGGCCTTTTGGTCTTCCGTCTCTTCTACAATATCTTCTTTTTGTCTCTCTTCTACTATCATGTTATTCTCTTCGTCAGTAGACGTCGTGCTTGTGTCTACTTTGACTTCTTTGTTGCCGAACTGGATACCTGAGAGTTGAGGACCGGAGTTGATGGAGTCGCGCGTTCCAAGTCCTCCAACGCTCCCATCCGCACCTGTGCTTGCTTTAGCAGAATCAGGGACGAACCGTGCAGCACCTGCACGACGTTTCCGTGCTGCCTCCCGCCAGTCCGGATTCGGCTTCGAAGGAATGACAAGAGGGCCCGCAGGGGCTTTGCTGTTGGACTTTTTTCCATTCACACTAGATGACACAAGTAACACATGCACCTTTTGTGAGCTGTAGAAATGTTGAAAAAGCAGAGGGAGACGCACCGCTGTGCACCGAACTTGTTGAAAGAAGTGATTAGCTCGTCTTCGAGACGGTTGTCTTCATCGTCGCTGGAGTCTGGCTCGTCTTTATCCCCACCATCGGCGAACACGATCCCGCTCTCCTCTTCATCGTCGGAATCCTCGCGGGAGCTGTAAGTACGAGGAGAACCTGTGAGTGGGGAGCCAGAAGCGGAGCTGGCGGCACTGGAGAGGTGGCGAGGGAGTGCTGACAGTTTGAATTTGTCGCTGGCCCTGTCGTTGTCAGCTGCTGGGGGTTTTCGGACAGTGAATGATAGTTTAGACTCCATCGTTGTGCAAGATACAGCAAGCGTTCACTGCAGGAATGAATCCAAAGCTTAGTCATTATGACAGACACATTCTGGATCCGTGAAATCAATGCATAGAATTAAGTTGGCACGGGAAGGGGCTAAAAGTACACTTGGCTCGCGTAGAAGTGTACATAATATTCCTAGTCAACTCCGTCATGGTCCCGTTCCTCAGCATCACTATCAGATTCATCCCTATCAGCTGTAGCCCCGCCACTTCCCCAAAACCTATTCAACAGATTCCTCACGACCCGTATGGGCATGGGCTGAAACAATCACATCAGAACCTTCGTTGGAAAAGCCAGATATAAAAAGGTAGCTCACAGCAATATACTCGTCCTCGTCCTCATCCTCATCTTCCTCCTCGCTTTGATCCTCGTCCGCCAACGCTGGCGCCGCTTCCGCTGCACCTCTCGGAGGCATTGGTTCCAAGTCCGGCTCATCATCATCACCCTCCACTGGTAATCCACCCGGCATACCCCCTCCACCCGGCACACCAACACCACCCTCCCCAGCCATCGCAAAATCAAGCATCATATCATTGAGCGCCTCTTCTGGCATCTCCGCCATCATCTGCACAAACTGCACTACACCACCAGGCAACTGTCTCGCCAGTCCGGGATTCGCATTAAACAGCGCTTCGATTTGCGCCCTGATTCCTGCGTCTGGGATGAGTCGCTCCAACGCGCGCGCGTCCCGTCGGCGAGGACGCACACTGAAGATCTCTTCTGCGCCTGCAAAGAAGGCATCATTATATTCGGAGGATGCTGTGAGTGGCGGAAGTGGATCGCATGCAAGCTGTTTGGCTAGCAAGACAGAGCGTGGGATGAAAGGGGTGAGGTTCCGGAAGCTTTGTTCGAGGACGAGAATATGTCGATAGACAGAGTAGCGAAGCGTTGTGGAGCCGTACATTTGGAGGAACCGCTCACGAGTTGGATTGGAGCGTTGGGCGTTGAGCGACGATCGAATTCCATTAGCGGTATTTTCGAACCATTTCATATGTGAAACAGATTTCCATAGAGGTGCAGATCGCTGAGCATAGAGATGAGATAAGAGGTGGAGAATGCTTTGCGCAGGTGACAGCCCACTTCAATCGCTGTTAGTACATGGGTATCTGACAGATCAATTTAACGCACATTCCGTCAGTTTGAATCCGGAATGCTCTGTGTTCGCGCAGCTCCGGAGACAGTGAAATATCACACTTGTCAGCCAGGAGTGGTACCACCTCCGGGAAGGCTAGCATAGCCTGCTTCAGCGCATCCGTACTGCTGCCTATGCTCTAACATTTCAAGTTTAACACACCGCTGACGGTACGAACAGAAAATTTACCTGCCCACCTCCTGCTTTTTCCCTCGCAAAAAGCGCCAGGGCTCTCGCATACGCCCATCCAGGTAGTGCACTTGGATTCAAATGATCCTCGAATGCCGTCTTTGCGCAAGCAAACTTGGAGTATACGTCCAAGAACCATTGCCCCATACCTGATTTGATGGAAACGAAGTCAAGATGGAACAGGACACCGTGCGGATCCGTCCATGGTTCGAGAGAGTACAGAAGGCGCCCAAACTCGAACGCGGTACGGATACATCCGCGACGCTGGAGATCACTGTGACAAATTAGTCTCCAAGATATATGCACAGGAGAGGGACATACGTGACCTGCCGATGCAACGCAAGGAAGAAGGGACGATTCTCGACGCGGTTGAAATCGAGGCGGTTAAGTCCATTCGTGAAGCTGTATGACCCTAAGAAAGCGCGTTCATATGAGAAGAGCGCCCGATCCACGTATTCCACGGCTTGGCTGTAATCTGTTCTGATTTTATAACATGAACATGTTCGAAAACGGACCACTGACCTTCTTGATGGCGATATACTTCTGCCAACTGCAGCAGTGTATCGCCATGCCACGGGAGCTTCTGCAAAACTCCCCGCAACGCTTCGGGATCTTGTCCCAGGGATGACTATGAGCGTCATGAGAATGTATATGATGAAACACCCTACCTGCTGAGGATACGGCCTGCATAAAGGTTTTTGTGGCACCCTTATACCTCTTATTATATTCAACAGTCCACCACTTGTCTCCTGCAGCTGGGCTACTTCTATCTGTAATCTTTTGTTGCACCTCCTCGTCGGTTAATGGGCGAGAAGAGAGTCCTTCACGTTGTTTGATCATGCTCCATGATGGATGGGGTCGTGTAAGTTGCGAACGTTGAGCCTGGGTTGGAACAACACCCCTCCGTTTTTTTGGGCCGCCAGAGGAGGAAGTCTCTGACGATTTTGCAGCTATAACGGCTCTTGCGCCAAAGAACTTGCGCATTTCTGCTTCTGCATCGAGATTGGATACTGAGACAGATAGAAGGGACACAAGAGATGCATTTCGAGTAGTTGATGATGAGGAAGTTGCCACGCTTTGAAGTTCTGGGTATCTTTGCGTTGATGAGCATATTAAGTGGCAGTTAGAATTTTAGACGCACTTTTGAGAAAGCTCTGCGAGCGCCGTGTCTAGATCGTCCAGACCGTCTTTCTTTTTCTCTTTTCCCTTGCCTTTCTTTGAAGATTTAGGCTGCTGGGGCTTCGGTGCCTCAGCGGGTTTAGCCTGCTGAGGGTTTGCCGGTGCATTGGATGCCGCTGGTTTCTTCTTCTTCTTCTTTGCCTGCGTTCAAATTAGTCAGTCGATCTCAAATAATAGTATATAGCAGCTGCGCGCCTTCTTTGCCTTTGTGGGCTGAGATGTTTCGTCATCGCTGTTCGGTCCATCGCGGTCATCTTCTGCAGTGGAAAGCTGGGTCCATCGTTACGATCTCCGCAAAGATTCGTTCCAGGGTTGAACTTACCGCTGCAAACCCCGATGGTACTATCGGCGCTGGTTCCTCCTCGCTGTCGGTATCGACGGCCGCAGCAGTCTGGTTTCCTAACGCAAGAAGCTCTTCTTGCTCGCGCTGCTGTCGTTTATTAATTCGTGCGGGCATGGAGTATGTTGTGGTCGATGATTAATGAAGGCTATGTTTATCTTTGGTTATTATCTAATCTTCTCAAGTATTCAAGCCTCTTATCCTTTCTGTCTTCTGCACGTTTGCTTCCGACTTTATTTTTCGACATTCGTTTTTTCGTCGCCATCGTCGTTGGTAAGTTCAAGGAACAAACCCCTGATTCAACACTTCGTAATCTCAAGGCTGCTGTAAGGTCGAGTAACTCGAGTCTAGCCCCTTCAAAGATGGAAGCACAGCCCCCCGCGCTGCTCAGCGCACCGCGGATGTTGACGCTTGTAGGATCTATCCTCGTATCCCTCAGTTCAGGGACAAACTATGTGCGCAAAATTTCCATGATATGTATGTGTGTGTGGCGTTGAAAGTAGTTCTGCTGCGACCAGATATACTCTGGTGAGTAATACTTACGTGTGTCGATAAGATCCTTGGCATGATGTCCTATCGCAGCATACGCTCCACAATTAGGCGCACGTTTGTTCCTCTCCCACACCCAGTTGAATGTTATTGGCCTCGCAGGGAATGGTACGTTAATCATTCAAATCAACTCGACCAAATCCTAAACTTTATTTAGTGGGTGTATATCTGAGCGGCCCAGCCTGGGGTCGAGTAGTCGATTCAAAGGGTCCTCGCATTCCGCTTATCAGTGCCTTTGCCTGCCTCCTCATAGGATATCTCGGCATAAAGGGCATCTACGACAATGGTGCTGGAACAGAAATATCGTTCATGCATCTTGTCATCCTCATTACCTGCACTTTCATAACCGGGTTGGCTGGAAATGCGGGCCTTGCCGTTGCTGTAAACACTACGGCCAAGAGCTTCCCTGAAACCTCGGTCTGTTTCCGTACTTTGATCCATGCATGAATAAGCCAAACTGAAGGAATGGCCTTTTATGCAGCGCGGAACTATCACAGGTCTCGTTCTGTCTGGTTTCGGCTTATCCGCGTTTTTCTTCGCTACAGTCGCCAGCATCGCATTTCCTGGTGACACATCTGCTCTTCTCCTTGTCCTGGGCCTCGGAGCTGCCATGCCCATGCTTCTTGGTCTTGTGATAGTCCGTCAAATACCGTTACCTCCTCCGAGTACCACACTCGGTATCGAAGGGGGCCTGCGTGGACACGAGGGATACCGCCCGATTCCGAGCGGTGATGCCGCTCTATTTATTCATGAGAATGACAGCAACACCTCCCTTCTTGATCCCACGGAACTCGTACACGAGGCACCAAACTATCACGTCCCCGAATCATCGACCGCGGTGGAACTTGTGTCGGACCGGATTATATCGAGAGGGTCGAGTGCCAGGAGGAGTGCGAGTCGCGCAAGGCCTGTGCATGATGGGCCTAATGTCTATGGGAAGCAACTGTGGCTTACCCCAGATTTTTATCTTATTTTTGTTATCATGGCGCTTCGTGAGTTGAGTTTATCTGCTTTTCATACCTTCTGACCGATGCTTGCATGTATTAGTAAGTGGAACCGGGCTCATGTGTAGGTGTTTCTCATCAGGGTCAATTGGGTCGCCTCACTCAAAGTTCTGCAGATATCAATAATGTTGGTTCCATATCTCAGGCATTATATGCCAAAGGGAATCCTAATTACGACGAGTTAGAAGCTTCCCGATGGCAAGCCGCACAGGTTTCAACTCTCAGTGTTTGCAACTTCGCAGGACGTATTCTTATTGGTTCATTTATTTGTCCTTCTACTTCGCTATCTTCGCTTATTTCATACACCAGGATTAATTGCGGACTTGATCCGAATTCGCCTACGTCTCCCTCGTGCATACTGTTTTTGCATCGTTTCAACGCTCTTTGTCGTCTCTCAATTGTCTGCCATCAGCATCAACGACGTTGCACATCTTTGGAAAGCAACCGCGCTACTTGGGCTCGCATACGGCGGTCTGTTCGGCATTGCCCCTACGATTATCATTGACTGGTTTGGGCTGTGTGAGTAGTAGACTAGGTGCTGATGAGTCACGCTAAAAGGGACTGATTTATTCTAGCACATCTCTCGGAGAATTGGGGATATGTCTCACTCAGTCCACTAGTGGGAGGGAATATTTTCTCGCTTCTGTTCGGTCGTAACCTCGATTCACACGCCTCAGACGATGACACCGGAACACATTCTTCTTTACCCTTGGCAAGACGTGGTGGTCTTCCAAGCGAACACCAATGTTTTGATGGACGCGACTGCTATGTCTCGAGTTTGTACGTAACGGTGACAGCGTGCTTGATTGCACTTGTGCTGAGCGTGTGGGCGGGAATGAGGGACCAGAGAAAGACAGCGGAGGCAAAGAGGGAAGTTGTTTGGGATGCTGAAGACTAAGTAGACGGAAAGTTTTAGGCAGACATTCATTGCAAGATATAATCATCATAGGCTCGCTAGAAACACCAAATTGCGGGAAACGCCACAAAAGACGTGCAACAGGCGCTGAGTAGGTGAGGCTGCATGCACATTCCGTGCCCGTTCCATGTTCATAAGTCCAGAGGCATATTCAATTGCAATATAGATAGCATACTTAGTTACGCTGTGAATATATACGTACAGTGTGAGGTATAACATAATGAAAATATATACAGTTTGACGCTACAGATATTGTACAGATTCTATGCAGTCCTAGTATTACAGATGTGAACGCAGGTAGCAATAATAACATTAATCAAAACCACAGCCCATCCAATGGACGTGTCATCAACAGGAGAATAGATAGAAACACGAAAACAGCAATAAATGCCATGCGAAGGTTAGAAGCGAGCAGATTTGGGGCCCGAGCAGCTGGTACCGGCAAAGGGAGAAACGAATGGGGTGTGAGCGGTGATGAGATAGATTTAATAGTCTGCTGTGGTTGTATTGCCCGCATTTCGACATCAGGGGCAAGCAGCTTCGTGCAACATTCTCTGCGCGGACTTCCTGGCAGTAGTTGAGGGGGCATCGTAACAGAGTTCGTGTATAGAGTTCCCGATTGCAAGCGAGGATGCGTGGGCTGACAGGCTGGCGGTGGTGCGTTAGCTTCATCTGCGGCAAACTCTTTCTCATCTCCGAATTGTTCTGCCTGACCACGCTGTAACAGTGATTCACCGTTCATGCTTCTCATTGATAGCGGAACAGAACGTGTTGGTATGTCAGCAGTGCGTCCCATCGCTTCTGGGAATCTATGAGGCGGTGGAGCTGCGGAGTTCATCGACATTCGTGAAAGCGGTGAAGGAGGCGATGGAAGCACCTCCAAAGAGCGGTGACTCGAAGTATTAGTAGGAGTGGGGCTCCTGATTGCGTCCATGACGGGTTCGATATCGGAATTGTCATCCGAACAGACACACTGGGCACGATTCAGTAGGTCTTGTCCTTCCATTACATCTGCAGGATTTTTCCTTAGCTGAAAACGGTATAGCAATGCAAGTCCAAGCTTGAGCAGTGCCAAGGGACGGTCTGGGTGCCCCGATCGGCGAAGCTCCAGCGCTTCCTGATACAGCGAGATAGGGGCATTGATAGCGCCATCGCTTTCTTCAATATGCGGGTGAATCACGAGAGCGTCCGCTAAATTAGTCAATGCTGCTGCACGGTCAGGGTGATCACTGCCACAATAATCAAGCGCAAGGCGCAGCTGTTCCGTGGCTGCGTGATAGTCTGAGATGCGACGAGTGCGGCGGTAGCATTCGAGGAGATTCTGACCAGTTTCTGTCATTTGACCAAGAAGTCGTGACTCGTTAGGTCTGGGCTAGCTGGGATGTCAATCTGATAGCAGAAATGCTTGTGAAGTCGACAACACTTACGGAGTAGCGTTGGCCAAACTGAGCCGCATCAGGTTCGCCTTCAAGGCCTCGGTCGACCTTTACTAGGAGAGACGATGATTGACCCCCATCAGGGAAGAAAAATATGGCTGAAGGTTATTTCATTGGGGTGAAAGGCATTGAAAAATAAACTAGCTGCCAGCTTACGTAGGGATTGGTCGCTGTGATGTAAAAGTTCTCCCACTGTGAGCTCAGCTTTGCGCATCAACTGGCCGCGCCCAAGCATACGTTCAAATTCGAAGGCTGCAAAGATTCTCAAAGATACTGTTGTTGAACTATCTGCGGGACTGAGATGCAGTTTCAGTATTCTCACGGAACACCCTCTAACTGAGCACTCACAGTACAAAAATCTGATCCCACTGCACGATATTGCTTGACGGTACTTCCGCTTTGACGGCTGTTCTCCAAACAGTTCCGTCGATCTCGACGGCGACATAATAACCGGCTGGAATGCGACGAAGGCCAGCCGCAGGAGCTGTTACATGGATCGCTACACCCCAGAATGAATCAATCTAGTCTCGATAATGTGAACCAAAAGCCTTACAAGAAATTGACAATCGCTTGTCCTGAGGCGTTTGGCGCCACGATTCTAGCTGAGAATGATGGGACATATACGAAAGAGGGGAAGCTGCAGGACAGGAAGGGGCCGTGAACTATAAATCTGGGCCGGTGACATAGCGGTGTTCCTGCGCTGCAACCTGTGCTGGCGTTATTGATGAGCGTCTGTGAGATTGATTATTAAGTTGTGCCCCGTGTAGAGAATGGATTCGGGAATGGAACGTGGTTGCATAGCATTCTGGAGGTACGACCTGATCCGTAAAATATCGTTCCCGGTTCGAGGCCGGCAACCAAGTTCACCGGCTCACAGTACCGCTAGAAGTCGTTATAGCTGGAGTGTGAAAAACCTCACGCTGCGATCATGTTCCAATATGGTTCAGGAAGTGATAGTAATAGGCATGTCAGGAGACAGGCAGCTGGAAACCCGAGCATTTCAAATGAAGGCCTGGACTGATCGATTGTGTTACATTTCACAGACTCCCACTGAGGCGATAATGTCGTGTGGCATCAGATCAGGCGAGGTGAAGCCATATGATTGAGCAGACAGGCTTGTGACGTCATACGAAAGGTGACTTGGAAAAAAAATACTCGGACCACATACCGTAGGTCCACTTGCGCTCTGCTGAGCTCTATGAACCACAATGAATGTGGGTCAGGCTATCCTCATCAAGTACTTGACCAACAGTTTCGCTGAGTCGTGAATAATTTGATAGTTCGACAGGCTGAAATCCCTGTATCGCTGGGTGCAATTCCGAAAAGACTAACCGACTGACCGGGGCTGACTTTATCGGTTTGCTATAAGCCAGTGGTCTCGAGCCACAACGTTCCACCGAAAAAAGACAATTTGATAGCCCCTCATGCAAGCTGTATGATTTCGAAGACCACTCGGAGCCCATTTCATGATCTGGTGCTTGCCGAATTGCCCTGCGTAAGTAGTTGCATTCGCTGAATTGAGGATGAGATGCAGGAAAGAAAACAAGGGTTGACCAACTTTGAGTCCGAACAAGCTCGAGGCTCGGCAACTGGTGTTCTGGTATCAGTCACATGAAGCGGAGATCGGAGTTTGTTTCCACGTGGTCCCTGGGACTGAGGTTTCGTCCACTATTTGTCCACGTCTCTCGTTCAACGGACTTGTCTATTGCTGTCCATTGGTTCGTGAGTGCTTTTCTCTTGATCTCATACAGAGGCTCCATTTCGCTTGACATTTGTCTGCTATGATCCAGAGCAACCAGCGCGTCTGTTACCGCGCGTTCAAGGGCAGCTATGTCCATACAAATGGATAGGGTACACACTTTGGCCTCCCGACCCCCTCCAATTGTTCCTGCACCTACCTACTTACAGATGTCCGCAAATGTGGTTCCTCGTGGTGTGGAGAAGCTTCCCTCGCCAGAGCAAACCTCCAATGATGAGAAGCAAAGCCAGATGGAGCTGTCACTGAAACGTTCTATAACGCTTGTTATATGGTACAAGGTTGGTGGTATATTCTTAAATGATCGCGTTGGGTGACTTGACTAATTGACAGCCGGCATGCGATCCCATTCGCCTGAACCATGAGATATCCACCTTTCCGTTGTTTCAACTGTCGCATTTTCCATCCGTGGTTTCTGACCTGGAACTCACGCCCGCTTCATACGTCGATACGTATAATCATGCAACCGGGAATTGGGAGCAACATATGATTACCACTGTCCGTGCGATTGAGACAGATCAACGTCTGCTATATAAACTCCGTAAAAGTCTTTTAAGTGGGCTTTTGGACGAGGAATGCCGAGGACTCGCAGAGGAGTTGGCGCTACAGTCGAAGAAGAAACCACCCGTATCTCCTACGATTGTCACCCAAAATGGCACCAAGAGGCCTGCAACTGAGCATACAGAGGGCCCTCCCACAAAAAGACCATACCCACCGGAAGGGTACCCGCACCCGATGTACATACCGCCCATGGGATATATGTACCCACAGGTCCCGCTTGGACATCCAATGAGTGCACCGCTAGTCGCTAGCCCATCACACGCAAACAGTCCTGAGGGCGAGGCTTCCTCGCCCATGCCACACCCATATTCAGGTCCTCCTCCAACCCCAATGAGCGGCCAGCCACCGAATAGCCCAGGGCAGTATCCAGTGGTGTCGCCTTCGTCAGCCACTCGAACAGGGCCAGGGCCATTCCCTCAGCACCCACACCCTCCACTCAAAAGATGGCCTAACGATTATACTGTGTCTGAAATTGCTGCCGGCTTCCGGCAGATGGATGCTCTTATTGCTCAGACGCCTAATGCAACTCAGCGCATATCATTCGAACGCGTTTTTGGATGCCGATATGTTAAGTCGACCGTGTGCCGACACCGTGGCGTATATCGCAAAGCTGATACAGCGGTCCGGAGTATGTTTGAGAATATGGGGACGGACGAACGTGCCGTATGGGGTGAGTTTGTGAGGCGCGTGGAGGGTCGACCATCAGGAAAGCAGGGGCAAGGAGAAGAACCTGCTCTGCATGGTGACCTTATCGAAGGGAGCTCGCAGCCCGGTCAAGTTCAGCAGGAACAATGTGGAGAGGCGAATACAGTCCCACTTATGGATTCACTGGTACCGTCCCCGCATATGACTGTCTCCTCGCCACCCCCTAGTATGCCACATATCAATGGTGTGTGTTCTATATGATCTATTTCCACGTGCTTATTTGATCTATAGGGCATGTTCCTGTTTATGATCCAAGTCTAGCAGATAAAGATGCTGGCTTGCCTGGAACATGAGGTTCAAGTTTTTCACAGCGTTTTGAGCCCTCTTTTCGCCATCCACGCCGTGACTCCGTGCGGTATTTGTAGTACTTCTTCCTTTAATTCACAATCTAGGGCTCAGGGTATGATATATTTACTGATAGCGTGACTTGCGATAGTCCCGTGATTGATCTGCGCCCAAAGCTATAAGGCAACTGAGGATGCCTCGAGCTTCATCAGAAGCCTCGAGTCCATTCCACTCCTGTCAGTATTATGCCAAGGATTCAAAATGACTCATTACTCAGATGGATCTAGCAAGAAAATTCTACATATACGACTGAATAAACCGCTTCGACTGCTAGTACAGTGCAACCGAGGTCAAACCGATTGATATTGGTCACGTGACTGTGCACCAAGTGCAATGTGTTGTCGAAACGTAACTTTCGTCATCATTTTGGGCTTCTCGGTATAGCATGATTTATAAAGATCGCGCCGGCTCCAGTCTCTAAACCCTACCGGTCTCCCTCTCTCGCTTCAACGACTACCACGTTGCACAGCCTGATACCAGCTTTCCTTGACTTTTCAGTTACTCGCTGTGTGAAGATAAAATCGATGACCGAAGACTCAATTCCTAATAAGAGGATCTTCAAAGATCCAGTACATGACTATGGTGAGTATTACAATTCAGTCAATTTATTATGGCAATCTCATCGTGACCGCGAATCCGTATGTCCAATAGTGGAGTACGATCCATGGATTTGCAGCTTCATAGACACGTAAGTTGCCATTGGCTTCTTACTAATGAAAAAAAACTCAATATATGCTTCTCCTAGACCGCACTTTCAACGGTTGAGATATGTAAAACAACTAGGGATCTCGTACTATGTGTACCCAGGAGCGTCTCACAATAGATTCGAACATTGTCTCGGTACGAGTGATGATATATCTTAGATTGTTCGGCTGATGTGCTCAAACAGGCGTTGGCCACCTGGCCAGGATGATGGCTCAACATCTTCAGAAGAGCCAGCCATCGTTGGGTATCACAGATGAGCATATACGATGCGTTGAGCTTGCTGGACTGTGCCACGACCTTGGCCATGGGCCTTGGTCCCATGTTTGGGATGGCCATTTTATCCCCAAAGCCCTGTAGGTTGTGATTGTACCTTCATTTCCGAAAGACCTGACGACTTAATTTTAGTCCTAATCACCCCAAATGGAGTCATGAGCAAGCGTCGGAGATGATGTTTGACGACATGGTGAAGAAGTATCGTAGCCTTGACATCTCGCCTGAGGACGTAGAGACCGTGAAGGCACTCATTTCTGGCAGGAAGGAGCGATGCAAGTGCGTGTTGCTGTTGACTTGACCCAACAGTTTCTGATGGACAGTTTGTTACTTCAGGCTTGGAGCGACTATGCCTTTTTTGTTCGAGATTGTTGCCAACGATCTCAATGGCATTGACGTGGACAAGTGCGTCTCTACTCTTCCACATGAGTAACATCTAATTTTAAGTTCAAGGTTCGATTACATTGCGCGTGATTGCCACGCTGTCGGCGAGAAACGCAATATTGCCATGACAAGGTAGTCTTCAGATCAATTCTTTCATTGAGTGCTTTTGACACTCATTTAGATTGATTCATTCCGCCCGCGTCATTGACGGTCAAATATGCTATGACATCAAGGATGCCAACTCAGTCTACGAACTATTTTACACTCGTTTCTCGTTGCACAAAAATATCTATAATCACAAAACTAGTACGTATCACGTTGCATACATCCTTTTTTATGCTGACGTTGGTATAGCTCGCGCCATTGAATACATGATCATGGACGTGCTTCTAATTGCGCAGAAGCACATGAAGTTCGCAGAGTATATCGACGTGCCTGAAAAGTATCTTCATCTCACGGATGATCTCTTCCACCGCATTAACATGACCGAATCGGAAGTGAGTCTATGCTATTGCTCCTTTCGTTTGTCTCATCGCGTAATTGCATCAGGAACTCGAACCAGCGCGCAAGATCATCCACCGTATCCAGACCCGTGACCTCTATCGCCGGGTGGACTACAAGATCATGGACTGGGATGACAAAGAATTTTGTCAGGCACATATCACGCCTGAGGCAATCGTTCATGCTGCTAAAAATGCCAACCTTGAAGGCGTCGAACAGAGCCTCGTCGCTGAGCTCACTGTTGACCACGTTATCGTGGATGTGAGCAAGATGCACTACGGCCGAGGAGTGGACAATCCCATCTACCAGGTTAAATTCTACAGCAAGCATGAACCAAATGGTGATCGTCGAGTATTACAATCTGACAGTTGTACTGATTCGTCCTCTAGTGTGCCGGCGGGCCGAGTCTGGAGATGTCTCCCTTTTGATGCCCGAGAAGTTCGGCGAGCTCCTCCTGAGGATTTACACCAAGGAAGAGAGATTTATGGGCCTCGTGCAAACCGCGTACCGGCATGTGCTCAGGACCCTTCCTATGCCTAGCGAGGCAGCGGGAATAGTCACTATAGTACCAACACCTCCCGCCACTGAAGCGCCTTCTACCCCAAGGGCACTTTCGTCTACCCTGAGTTTTGGTGTACCTCAGAGCCGTGCTTCAAGACCTTTCGGACGCACACCCAGCTATTCGGACAACCAATTCACTACACTTCCGCCAAATTGCCAGAGCCGCTCTCCGACGAGGATATCATCACGAAACTTGAAGAGGGCTAGAGAGACCAGTATCGAGTTGGACATTGACAATCCTCCTCCGACTAGGAAGAGTATGCGTTTGGCATCAGTGTCAGGGCCGGCAAAATGATCTTACTTCCATACTCCTGATGGGTTCAGCTATTTTTACAGTTTCCTGCCTGCAAGTGTTAGATTCGCGCGTTTGATGCATTTCCGTTCCGCATTCAGCCTGTATTCATTCACGATTTGTTGGAAAGAAGAATTCACTTACTATACAAATTTTATAACACGCTTCGCACTCTAGACCAGTACCATAACATATACACTTACTTGACACACCGGACGGGTCAAGCGGTTACAAGTTCCTGGAGCTGGTGAGGAAACGAACTATTCGCTGACCGATGTGTTCGGTCGTACCTGCTGGTGTGAGATGAATGCAATACGAGAAGCACAACTCATGTGCATGTGCATGATCGATCATCCACATGCTTGACGATGTGCGTGCACGGACTAGCAAACATTGGCAACACGTGTATGATATATGATGACGTGTACGAAAATGAAGCAGTGTTAAATTTGAAAAAGAGGCAGTCTATCATGATCGTCTGTCTTATCCCATTCAAGATTTTAAAGGCCCCGAGTTGTAATTAAGTTTAAAGCAAGCCAGGCTAGCCTGAGATTATGAGCAAACCTGTTGAGCCTCGGGCCCACTTCGAGATAGCCCTATGACAGCAACACGGGCGGTGAACATCAAGGCAAAGGAGATTATTTGGTAGAGTCGCTATTGGATCCACAGTCAGATGCAAGGAGTTGTTAGCGAGATCACAAAGATATGATCCCCGAGTCCACGAAGGTTCTGCTTTGTGGCTGTGAGTTTCTTGATGTTGATTGGGACCAGATTATCCATCAGTAAACCGGTGAGTTCTTGCTGGGGATTATGCTGATTATGGTGCTTTTACATGGTCATATATTGCTTTATATCACTTTATATTACAATGTGACGAAAACCTTTCCTATATATTCCGATATATAACGATATATGACGATATCTTCTTCTCACAGGTTCTCTGATGGCCCGCCTCAGCCAAGTGGATTCTTGTGGAATATTGACTTTGCTCTTCTTCAGCATCGCGGCCTTCTCGTTTCGGCTGCTTTGACACCAACAACATGCTTCTGCTGTACAAATCCGATGCTGATTGTGAAAATGAGGCTACGGGTATATTCTGCGAGTTGCTTGTATCCTGTTGACGGCATTGGCACTACACGGCGTGGATGCCAATGTGCATACCATGGTTCCCCGGTCCTTTATAATCCTTCAGGACTTTACAGGTGCGTAACCTCCAGCACATACCTTACTCGTCTGACCTAAACGCGCACGACGAATGCGGAGTAGCGCAGATCTCCCAGCGCGCCACTCTACAATGGTTGGCAGTACCGGTATCACTTTTCCTTGCGGTGGTAGATGTACGTTTGCGTCGCACCCGGAAAAGGGATTACGCGGTCAGGTGCGCATCTAAACCAATCACTCAGCAGATCTAGAAGTTTCGTACTGGCTTACGCAGGAGGACATAGGTCGATCGATCGTGACTCGGAGTTGTGTCTCGCGAGTTCTTGCATGTTTGGCGCTGTTAGAATCGGAAGGTTTGCATCATGTGACTCTTGAACGCGTCAAACAATTTCAAATTCATCGAGTACATATCCGCGTCCATGCGGGCCATCGATGCATTCACAAGGTACAAAGTCTGTATCAGTTGTCCCTTAGCAGCTGAATTTGATTGCCACACAATGCAGTAGAATCGGCGATGGCGATGTACTTGCTAGCATTTTCACCGTCGCTTCGTGCAATGATGGAACCACTGGCAGGAAGTGTTTTTCAAATCTCCGAAGTTACGCCTTATGAATATCTCTATATCTGGCGATATTACCTCGTTAAATATCAGTGTTTTGACAACAAAATGATGTCAGCCGCCAATTTGGAGTCCTCAGTCCTGCTTCCGACTCGCTCGCTTGCTCTTTCTTCTTGCAAACAGGCTACATTATGATAACAAATCAAATGATGCATTGGTTAGCAGCGAGGTTTAGACACCCTGGCCCACGTCAACTCAACACACTCGTGGCTCCGCATGTTTTGGGCACGAGATGAGAGGGTACATTCCGTTTTCATCTTCTGGCCCACCGCTCACGCTATCTTGAGGCTATCTGTGGCTGCCGGTATTATCGCTACCAAGTCTTCTTCCTCGTTGTCTGAGTGCCAAGAGCCGAGGTCGTCAGCGCCAGTAAGCCCACCCCGGTTTTACATGACACCTACCAATGTTACAAGAGGAGAACATATTGCTGTGGCCTAGGTGCTGGGGGAAGGTGAGTGTCCCCATTTACTGACAGCCTGGTTGTCCTCGAGACTGGTAGTATCAGCTCGGGACGCCATGCGATGGAGTTGTTTGATGTGGTCATACAATACAATCACATGGAGTCCACAGCTGATCTGACACGGCGCGAGGGTTCATTTCTTATACATCCACCGAAGGTGACCAATGTCGAACGGGATCATATCTTCAACCCAGTGCTACCACTTCCTGTAAAATTGATTCTTGCGCCCAATTGAGAGCAATGAATGGGACTGAAGCGGATGATCAAAAAGTCACATTGCAACGCGACTGTAGATTCAGATGTCAGACCATGATCGAGAAGTTCAGTACAACAACAGGAGGTATCATAATATCTTGTACACTTTGCCTACTGCAACTATAAATAACTTGGTATCATAATTCAGTAAGAGTAGGGTAACGCATTCTACGGTTTTACATCTACACGCTCATCTTCATCGCTATCGTTGGGTGAGGATCGTACCCTTCAACCACAATATCTTCCGAATCGAATCCGTCAATGTCAGTTATCTCCCTTCTGAATTTGACTTTTGGAAATGATCTTGGTTCGCGTTTGAGTTGTATTTCGAGGGCATCAACATGGTCGCGGTAAACATGCGCATCTCCAAGTTGGATGATGAGCTCGTGGGGTTTGGTCCCCGTAACGTGCGCAACCATGTGCGTTAGGAGCGCGTAAGACGCGATATTGAAAGGGATGCCGAGCCCAAGGTCGGCCGAGCGTTGGTACATGAGACATGATAGGCGTTTAGGAGCATCGGGTGTAACAGGGAGATGCACATAGAATTGGCACATCATATGGCATGGTGGAAGGGCCATGAGCGGCATGGCTACGATATGAGATGAGCGCACGTAGGAGCACCAAACTAAAATAAACTCACCTGCTGGATTCCATGCGCTCAAGATTATCCGTCGATCAGTCGGATCGTCTCTGATCTTCCGAATACACTCCTTCAGCTGATCGACGCCTTGATCGGTATAGTCCGTATCACAATCGACGTAGTCCGCGCCGAAATGTCTCCATTGAAATCCATACACGGGGCCAAGATCACCCTCCCGTCTGTGTCCCAAACCGCGCTTCTCAAGAAATTCTTTACTTCCGTTTCCGTCCCATATTTTGATGCCCTTTTGCGAGAGCACTCGGGCGTCCGTGCTGCCTCGGATAAACCAGGGCAGTTCTTCTACGATGGCGCGTAGGAACGTGCGTTTTGTTGTGAGGAGCGGGAGCGTGTCATCTGCGAGGGAGAAGCGGAAAGAAGGGGGTGCAAAGATAGAGAGGGTGCCCGTGCCAGTGCGATCTGGGCGAACCTCGCCTATGTCTATGACACGGCGGACGAGGGAGAGATATTGGTGCTCCTCGTGTGGCGTCGTGGGCTCTATGCTGCCCATTGTCGAGTATGCCAGTGAACGATAGGCAACACGCGCATAGTTGACAAAACGCGTCTGATTGTTTACAAGAATAGTCGATGCCGGCGGCAATTTCCAAAAAGGTACACGGGCAAACATCATGATCACAAGGTATAATGCAACAAAATCGATTTTCATTTCAACGAAGCAAGGTATCGACAAGGTGTAAGAAACCGGACGAGAGAAATGGGGCACACGCGACTGTTCAGAATCAGAAAACGAAGCAGTTTAAATGGTGAAGTTGATGATTACCTACTGGGGTACTGTGTTGTTGGCAGAACTCGGAGGTTTTGCCAAGCGGTCTGGTAAAACTGGTCCACGACAGAACAGAACTTGGTAGAACTCCAGGATTTTCGCTCATGCTCTTCCGTGTTGGTCACGGTGATGCATGTGTTTTTCCACGAGCGTCAGGTTCGTCAGCGCGATCCATCCGTCGTGACTCACCATTATATACCATCCCGCGTGTTATTTCGCATCTGCTCGACAGCGAAGCTGTCTGTGTCCAACAAGAGGGGATAAACCGACTGCAGGGGCGAAAATACTTTACCCTTCTCCTGCCAGTGGTTACGCAGGTAGCCAATCGCAAAGATGCGACCCTCACCATGGATTTGAGTGATTCATTCAAGATTCACAGTAAGGGTCTCACTTGGCATTGAAAAACGGGACACAATAATGATGGCGAAAAACTCCCGGATGACCTGCAGGTGTATAACCAGTCAGTAGCTCCATCCGTTGACGGCCTTTCTTGGTGGAAAAACCTTCCACTGATCGATTCTGAAATCCACTCACTCAACCTTTAGTGTTGCTGGCAGAACCCGGAAGTTTTGCCAACCGGTCTGGCAAAACTGGTTGTGCCAGTTGTGCCGATCGCGATAACACGGTTTGAATTTATGCAATAGAAAATGAAAATCGACGTCCATACTATTATGTGAAAAGTAAGGCCCCTTGTAAATCGGGCCTTAGGATTTTGCCGCATCGTGCCGCATCCGTGCCGCACCCTACACAACAAATGTCTTATGTGTATATAACATGTCTACGTCGTCCACAAAGGTCTTGGATATGATTTATGATTAATAAATACCATAGTACATGTTTTTGTGTAGGTATCACAGTGAATATATGTAGTGGATAATGTTGGTACAAGTGTGGGTGGGCAGTGGGGATGATATCGATATCCAGTGAATTGATTTAAACAATGTCAAGACCTGTAACTTCCTTCTCACTTCGATGAATACTACATTGCCCAGACCTATAGTATCTCCTTTACAAGGGTTCACCTCGCAAACTACACAACTTACATAAATCAACACCAAGACAAAAGTGGGAATGAATGGAAACAAAGTCGCCTGCTGCTCCTTGCATAGCATTAGACAATCATTAACTCCACCGAGCATCTCCCTCGCTATACACCGTTGTCAGTCGATATATGCACGCGCTCTTGGAAAGCAATCGAGGTCATGGCAGTTGCTGTGTCGGAATTGGCCACGAGCTTCGCGTGATATTCTCGAACGCCAAGGATCAGGCGTGGTCCCAGCACAAACGATTGCACGGCCT